TATTTATTAAAATATTTATTTAAATGCATGCAGATGCTGGTCCACAGCATTTTCTGGGAACTGACAGTGGGTGACGAGGAGGCGAGAGTAGGCAACTGCAATGAAAACAAAAGCGTTAGAAATGAGAAATAATAAAAGTGAAAACTTTTTGCCTCGCCTCTTTACTCTCTCCCTTCCTCTCTATATTTCCTTTTTTCACGCTCTAGCTCGGGTGCTGGATAAAAATGTCTAACACGTTGCGAAAAAACAACAGACAAATGTGAAAACTAAGTCCAAATGAACACAAAACGTAAAGTGTAGTGCCAAACATACATACATCTAGAGTTAGCTGCACACATGGCCGACTGCTAGGTTGGGGAAAGGACAATAGCAGGCCACACTCGTCGTCCATAAAAAGTCACTCAAGTGGTATTAAACGTCCCGCCAAGTGCAACGGGCCCACACAAAAGGCTAAGAATGAGAGAATGGGAGATGCCGTGCCACACTTGTAGCTGCCACATATTAGGTGGCATTTGTTGACTGGTAGTCGCAGTATTTGCCGAGTGTATATATATAGTACTTTGTACTACTATATATATATATATATATATATATATATATATATATATATATATATATATATATATATATATATATATATATATATATATATATATATATTTTGCTCGTTTGCTTTTTGTGCTGACCTTCCTTCCTTCACGTTGATCGGTTTAGAATTGACTTTTTGTTTCCGTGTAATTTTTGATTGAAACTGAGTCTGAATACCTTCACCAGCCCCAAAGGTGATGCTGCCAAATACAGGCAGGCAGGCACCGCCTCGCTTGTTTGCACTCTCCTTTCGCATTTATTTGTATTTTAAAGTGTGCGGCTGTCGCAGCCATTAGGCATTTTTTACACTCAACTGCCGAAAAGGTGACGGTGCCAGTGCCGGTACCAATGCCGGTACCTTACCCGAAGTTGGAGCTAAAGGGGAAAATGGAGCAGCAGCTGTTGTTACTTGCGTCCCACGTCCGTATTTAACGGCCGTTCTGGCCTTCATCTTGTTTTATTGTGCAGTGGCATGAAAACATGACGCTGCAGCAAAATAAAAGTAATAAGCAAAAAGGGTAAGGTTTCCCATTTGAAATTACAAATCGCAAGCTGGACAATTGGTGCGGGAAAAGAATAAAAATTTAAGGGCGCAGCTGGACTTCTGCAAATACTCTTAACTGTTAATTTGGCAGTCTGCATGAAAAGGAATTAAAGCCAAACTATTTTCGAAACTGAATGAAAGCCAAATACCTAAAAATTGTTGCTCCACACAAGCACAAGTAAAAAGTGAAAACACAAGTAAAATGCGCGCGCACTTAAACAATTTCGATTCGTTTTGTGGAGCACCATAAAGTAGGAGCAACTCATAAAGTTCTCAGAAACGAATAACCAAAACGAACCCAACAATCTAGAAATTGCATTCGGGTGGAGAGGGAGAGGGAAAGAGCACGATTCTGGCTGGATTGATTTCTAGCGTTTATTGAGCGCGCGTCCAGCGAATGCGCAAACAAAACAACATCAAACGAAAGCGAAAAATTTTAATGGAATGCCGAAGTGCAAAAGGAGCTGCTGCAATGTAAGTGCACAAAATTTGTAGCAGTCGAGCAGCAATCGGATCAGGGCAGACTGGCAAGAACCGTTGCTACTTCTGAAGTGTGGACGTTTGTTTTTTATGCTCCCATATCTATTCGGCTGTGCTGTGCAAGCAAATGAAATGGCGAAACGATAAAAATCAAAAGCAACTGCCTTTTGACTGCCAGCAATGCGAACTTTGACATTTTCATGGTAAGGTAGGAATGCTGCGTGCATATGTGAGTATATTTGTGTGTGTGTGTGTACTACTAGTACAGTAGTAAAACAAGTAAAAAAGCTAAAGTCGGGTGTCCCCACTTTGAAATATTCTGTACATATGTTTAGAATAATTATAGAAATTGAAAAAAGTAAGAGAATTAACAACAATATTTTTGATCGATTTTACCTCTTTTGGTATTCGAGCTCACGTAAAGGGTGTATATATATATACAAAGCAATTGCGTCTATGTGAATGTATGTATGTTTATGCTCGTATATTCGTGTCTGTGTAAGCATGTTCGCGGTCAACAAAAGCACCAGCATCAACAACAGTCGCGGGCAGCGCGGGGTAACTGGGGGTATTTGCAAAATTTTAGTTCAACAATCCATGAATTATGGAAGTTACAGAAAATCGCGATTTTCATGGTAGAGGGGGGAGGGAGGAAAGTTCCAAAATGCACATTTTCTGCGTATTCACATAAGGCATCTGGGACTAAAATTTGGTGTTCCTAGGTCTTATAGTCTCCGAGATATAGGCGATTATACGAATGGAAAATCGGTAACAGGAAAAATAGTTCTTTGAACATACAATATATGTACATGGAAAGAAAAACTGAATATGAAACAAGTCGAAACGACACTTGAACTCTTTAATATTATTTCTTAATAAAATAATATTATTAGAAGGACATCTTCTACAAGTAGTGAGCCGAAATGGAACTAGTACTTTCATAATAGCACCTGTTGATTGACCTTAGGAGACTGCTAATAGGAATAAAAAAAGTGAAGAGCAATAACTTGAACTAATAACTAAGAAGAGGTTTTTACATAATTAAAAACGTTTACTTCTGAGTTAATTAATTCATTATTAAAGAAGCTCTCGGCAAAGCTCTAAAATACTGCAATATCAAATAAAATCACAAAAATGCAATTGATTTATGAATTATAAAAACAGCAGAATCCACACGCCCTGGCATCGGAGTAGAGTGGACGACAAAAAAAGTTGTTGGTTATTTTCCCAAGACTTCAATTAATATCTCCATTGTCGTTAGCTGCACTCCGACACACATATATATGAGTACTTCTCTTTCTATTACATATTTATGTATTTAAAAATTAGAGTTCGAGACGACTACTTTTAATATTGCTTTTGATTGCAAACGTGCTCCAATTAAATGCCAAGCAATTGTAGTTAATTTAAATGAAATGAAATTTGCACTTGTGTCGTCGACGACAAACACACACTGCTCGAACGTGACATATGTAAATACGTACATGCAAGTGTATATGCAAATAAAGGAAAAGAAAAATAAAAATTACAAGTCATAAAATTGACTCGTGCACAGTTACTTTTCCATTCTGTTCGGTGGCGGGAGCGGTAATTTATGACCAAGGAAACCAGGAAACGGCTCAACTTGTAGCTACTTTTATTTCGCCGCCAAACCATCCATGTCGTTCTGCCTCCCATTTTTGTGGCGACGGTTGTATGGGCGTGCCAAGGCGTGGCAGCTACATACCGCAGGCGACAGCCACAGCCACGCGTGCGTTATAACGATCGTAACACAGTGGCATTTTCGTACAGCTTTTGTCGCATGTGCTCGCTCCCAAAAAAAACCAGAACAAAAAAATGAAGAAAACACAAAAAGTTGAAAATGTGCGAGAACTGAAGCTATACAAAAAATGCTTCATCCTCCCGGTCGTGGAAGTAGGCTGCTGTAAATGTTAATTTTGCATCGCGTTTTTCCATTTTAATTTTGCAAAAGTTCGCATGGCTGTTGAAATGATGTGCAAAGTTGATTAAAATGATGCGGGGCCGTTGCCGGTGCCTGAAAAAGCTCATGCCGCTTCAGTTTAAATTCTGTTAATTGAAAGGCCTTTCATTTGACTGGGCAGGCATGTGTTGCGTGACCCGCAAGTGGCCACATTTGATTCAATTACAAATAGACCATCAGGACATGGGAAGCATGACGTGAGGAATTACAAATGTCATGTAATTTTCTACACCTCGCTTGTGCACACAAAAGCCAAACAGTCTCTAATCAAAGCTAAGCTGTAGGTTACACAAATCAAAGAAGTTTATTATGTTTATTATGTCGACAGTAAAGGCAGTGATATTCCACACTTAGAGAAACCAAAAGCTGAAAGTATTTTAAATATATTTCTTCAAATATAAAACAATTCGTGTTACCTTGTGTTTCTTTATCTTCTTCGAAAAACTGTAAATTCTGAATATTTTGAAGTCACATGCCAAGAAATAGATTTTGAATGTCAGAATGTAACTGCTTGGGGTTAGTGAACCTAAAACGGCCTTTAAAGTATTAACGTGCGATTCTGCAACAGTCACACTTTTTTTAGCTGTTATGTGTACTTCGTTCTAGAGTTTATATATAATTTTAGTTAATAATTTTCTTATCAAGGTCCAACAAGGTTTAGCAACTGAAGACAACTTGAACTTAAAAGTTTAATTAATGTTTTCAGACTATTTTTTCTATTTTTATGCTACAAAAAATAGGTAAATACATATATTTCTTTGTTTTATTTAACAATTTGAAACCACGACTGGGTTTTAAAAGGCGCTTTTTCTCTGGGTGTAAAATGGGCCGTCCAGCCATAAAGCTGCAAAGCACCTCCCACTCAAATACGATAATATTTTCAGACTCATTCTCGTACTCCAACACATGACGATACATTTTAATCACATAAAACTCACTTACACTTGCTACATTTTGTGTAATTTGTGTGAAACTTGTGCGTGCAGCATGTCAGTTTTGTTTCTTTTCTGCTTTCTCTTTTTATTTTCCGCTGGCACTCACTGCAAAGACATGCAAACATGGCGTATGTGTAATATTTGAACATTTGTTGGGAAACAAATTTATGCGTTAGCACATAAATCTGAGGCAGTGTACTGGCACATGCTGCACTTAACCAAATAGTTTATGCTATTCTCAAGAAGAAAAAAAGGCAAAAGAAAAGTTTCATTTTGCAGCCAAATGTGTTAATTTAATAAAGTGCCAGCCAGCTGCGTAAATTGTGTGGGAAATTGCTGGGCTTTTGCACATACCCATAAATCTCAATTAGGGCGCACACAGTAATGAACACTTGGGAAACGCAAAGCCAATAGGACTAGCTCTTTGGGCTTAAACAGTGCTCGCACCAATGATTTAAGTAAATGTTTTTTCTCCAACTCTGACGAGTTTTCGTTTTGGATTTTATTCATTTTCAGTTTCAACTTTGCTCGATTTTATGCTAGCTTAACATTTTTTCAACAATTTCTCTGTTTTTCGATTTTTTTTGTTTGTTTTTCTTATCTTGAGTCAGTGTTTTAATTGATTGGGAAATTTCTGGTCATAGAAATATCGAAATTAAATTTAGCACTCAATTCATTACAAAATAAATACATATTAACAGAAATCGTAAACCATTCATAATTAAAGAGAAATTAAAAGTTGTTTAGCAATACAAAGTGCTCTTATTCTTGTTGTTATTGTGATGTAGTGGGCGTGCCTCAGAACACTTGCACACGATGATTCTCCCGATCGCACACCAAAATGTTTCCGTTTGACATAATGGCCACACCTTCGAGTCCTTTAAACTCCGAGTCACCGGAGCCCCAGGAGCCAAAGGTCTTTAGAAAACTGCCATCGGGATTGAAGATTTGTATGCGATTGTTACCAGAATCGGCTACAAATATATAGCCCTGATCGTCCACAGCCACACCACTGGAAAAATAACATGTATAGTAGTTATTGCGACCCAAAATCCAATAAATAGTGTAATTAATTTACTTACCGTGGAAATTTGAATTGACCATCGTCGGAGCCTTCGCCACCCACAGTTGACAGGACCTTCCCATTCACATCGAATATCTGTGGAAGCAATTAAGTACATATGTATGAAGTATGTGTGTATGTAAAAAAAAGCATAAATACATTTGGACAAGGCAAATAAAATGGCATTTAAAAGGTATGCGGAATGTGGCATGTGCCATGAGGCACGCTCAGTCCTCCGCTCTTCCATCTGCCTAGCAATTGTAAGCATATTTTAATTAAAAAATCTGTTGTATGCAGACAGGCGTGACGTGCATACAGCCATCTAGCCTTGGAGGAGTATTGGTGGGACCGTGCTGGAATGGATAACGGGTCAGAGGGCTTACCTGAATTCTGTGGTTGTTCGAATCGGAAACAATAACACGATTCGTATTCGATACGGCTATATAATGCGGATGCTCCAGCTGACCCTCGCCACGGCCACAGGAACCGAATTTACCAACGAAGGAACCATCGGATTGGAAAACCTTTCGAAATGAGTATGAAAAGGGAAATGAGTTAAGTTCAAATTGAAATTGGAACTGAGGTAAAGAAAAAATTGCCAGACTACTGGTCATGTGGCATGTTGCAGTTGCCAATCGCCATTCGGCAAGCGTGTGTATGAGTTGTGTGTGTGTGTGTGTGTCTGTGTGTCGAATATAATGTAGTTAAGCGCCTGAAAATTGCTGCTGCTGGTGGATGGCATGCCGCTGCTCAAGTGTGACAAATTGGGTGCGGCAGCTACAGCCACAGCCACAGCTGGCCTTTCATCTTATTCCCACACCCCTCGAACACACACACACACACACACACACACACACATAGCCTATACTCAAACTCACATTCTTGCTCGAATGATTATAAATATTTGCATGCAAATGGAGCGACGTACTGGTACATACCTGCACTCTGTGGTTCTCCTTATCGCAAACGTAAATGAAGCCGAGTGCATCAGTTGTTACGCCCCAAGGATAATTGAATTTGCCATCTGCGGTGCCCTGCGAGCCGAACGCGCGCAGGAAACGTCCTTGTGGATCAAGCACTTGTATGCGATGATTATATCTAGGGGCCAGAGCACAATGCAGGTGGTGGTGAGTGGAAAGAAAGTGGTAATACAAGTAGTTGACACAATTTCGAGTACAACGGCATAACTCTTAAGTGTGTGTCTGCGCGTATGCCTCTATACAAGAGCATTCAAATTGGCATGCGTATTTTAATTGCTACCTTCACAAATGCAGTTGACAGAAACACCAGCAAGGGCAACGACGGCGCTAACAACATTTTGTGCAGATCTTAATGGAACTTGGCAAATATCAACTGAACTCATTACCGAGCGACGCCTTGACGTACTTGGCAATAAGCTAGAATTTAGCAGCTCAGCCTAAGCCGCTTAACGTGCGAAATCAAAGTTGAGTCTCTTATATTGTTGTTATTGTTGTTGTTGCTGTTGTTGGCCGACGGCGGCTGCTGCTCTGGGCTCGGCTAGAAACTGGCGGCGCTTAACGAGATTTTGTGTCAAACAAAGACATCTAGCTGCCAGGTCTCTTTTGAGCGAAACATAAAAAGGTTAGAGACGGCAACATAAATAGGGCGATGCCGATGCTGTTGTAGATAAAACAAAAACTGAACACTTTACGACGACGGTATACCCTACCCACACACAAGATATGAATAGTAATTAAAACTGAATTATAGTGAAACACCATCAATAATTAATTATGTACATGTAAGGAATATATTAATTATTTCTAGCTTGCACTATTTCTGCACTCAAGTTTCTAGAATTAAGAAAACGGAAAATTTTTGTTATCACGAAACAATCCATTAGGTGTTCACTAATTTCATAATTTTTGGAACTTTTTACAAAAGTGGAAGCTTCTTCGAGTACATACTATGCTTACAACAATGCTAACAACTTTAAACTTTCATGTACCACAAATATAAGTGGCAAACATTATTTTGAAATCAATGTGGCCTGAGGAAGGGTAGAACAATAACATTGACAGCTGTCTGACGCACAGGCGTTGCAGCCCATGCGGCTTAGCCGGCCCGCCCACATAAGCCCACACACTGATGCGCACACACATGTTTCTCATTAACGCGCCTATTATGCGCTTAGCCGTGCCAATTAGAACGGCCTACTGCGATTGCATACGCCAGAGCGTGAGGTCTAAGTCCGAAAATAAATTACACGTCATTGTTCAACTTAATTAAAATACTCCTAGGTAGTTGGAATATCTGCACGAGAAATCCAATGCAAGGAAATGATGATGGAAAAGTAAAATAATGGAATAACGGACCATTTACACTTACCTATCGGCTATGATGTACTGGCCAATGCGATTAACTGCCACACCGGCTAGACAATCGAATTCACCCTCGCCATTGCCATATTCGCCAAACTCCTTGACAAAAATGCCATTTGAGTCGAAGACCTGGACCCGGTGGTTCGACGAATCCGCAACGACGATGCTATTGTCGGGACCGACGGCCAGGCCGCGCGGCCACGTAAAGGATCCGGGCTCGCTCCCCCGGCCCCCCAACTGGAACAGCTGCTGGCGCTTGCGCAGATACACCTGTTTAGGGATAGTACCTGCTGCTCCTGCTATACCGGCTGCTGCTGCCACCGTAGGGGACGTAGGGGAGCCTAGCCCGTTTTTTGACCCGTCATCGTCGGATGAGGCAATCTCGTTTGCCTGTCGCAACGGCAGGCCCAGACTGAGGCGTCTAGAGACATCGCTGGCGGTGCTGCGGCTGCTGCTGCCAGGGGCGTGTGCATGCGATGACGTCGCCGCAGAGCTAGAGGCGTGCGTGTCGCGTGCACTGCCGCTACTGGCTGGCGCATCCTTGCTGCTCTTGTTGCCATACTTGTTCTTCAGATAGCGCGCCCATGAGCTCAGCGCTTCGCCATCCTTGTTGTTGTCTGTCGAGCTGCCCATGGCGCTGCGTGATGAACCAGCACTGCGATCAGTGATGGGAGAGCTGTCGCGAGACTTGAGAGCGTGGGAAGAACGGCTCCTGGACAAGTCACTGCCACCATAGCCGCTGTACCTGCAACGCGTAGAGCAATAGATTAGCAATGGAGCCACAGGATGCTGCACACTACACTGATGTGAGCGGCAGCTGCCTCATGGCATGCAAAATGGTGCATGAGTGATGTGACGGCTACTCGAAATAATGCTGGATGGCTATGGCTGTGGCTGATGGAGGGACTGCAGGTGCTGCTAATGGATGATGTACGAGTACATAACAATCGACTGAATGAAAGGGCATGATAGTCGAATTTGAAGATATATACAGATATAGAAATTGAGAGACAAAGACAGAGGGGTGGAGAACGTGAACTTTACAAATTGGCTGAGAGTTAATTTCGGTTAATTTTTCCAACGCGCAAAAGTTCAACCATTTCCTTATCCGATCTATTTTGGAAAACAAGTGAGAAAAACGAAAAAATAAAATCAAAATAACTCAAATGTGAATTAGTGGTGCGCAACGTAAACAAAACATGGACTAGCACGCAGTGCCTGTACAGAATTCAAATCAAGTAAAAAAAAACCTCAAAAAACTAAAAATAAAATAAAATAAAAAAATTCACATATATCTTATTTATAAATTAAAAACGATTCGTTTGTTTGCGTGGCAGGAGGGAAAAAGCAGCACGCACAAATTTCAAGTGCCTGGACACGCTGGGATTGGGTCTCTCTAATAAGCTGTCACAATAAATATTATTTTATATATACAGCAGATTTGATATGTGCCCAGGATCTTATTTACAATTGTTTGATTTTTGTGGTTTAACTTTTTTTACAATTTAGTCTTCGCACCTTGAAGCTAAGTAAGCAGATGGTGAGGCTGTCGTCGGCGACACAGGCTCGTCCAGATCTTCATCTTCATTTCCAAACTGGTGAGAGGAGCGACTGCGCGCCAGACGAGTGCGTCGCTCCTTCATCGCCAGATATCGCGAGCGTCCCGTGCCATAGCGACTGTCCGAGTCGTCGCCAGTACCATTGGCGTCGTCATCGAAGGAGGCGGTGGGCGTGGACAGCGAGGGTTGCGTTACAATGGCGCTGCTCTTGCTTTTGTTTAGAAAGCGGCTTGTGTAGCTGGAAAATTTTCGTGTTTGATATTGCTGCTTTTCACCTTTTTTTTAAACTTCATATTTTGCTATGTATAGTAGTTGCTGTTGCTATACCCTTTAATTGATGTTTTTTGCACGTTGCAATTTTTTCGTTTGTATAGTACGAGTACGAGCTACCTGACCTTAAAAGAAGAAACAACGCTCCAGTAGTTTTATCTACGTATCGTCGTTAGTCATGCTGTGCGGACAGCTCCAAACTTTATAAGCCCTCACCCAGCGCTGAAGCAAATTACTAAATCCCGACCGCTTAATGAACTAACTTTTAACTAGCTTACAAAAATCTGTGTAACGGGTTGTCTGCCCCCTCCAGTCTTCCTGCCTATTTCATGTTTTTCAGTCTGTCTACCTGGCTCCCTGTCTGGCTTTTGTATGTCATGTCTGTATGGCTGCTTCGCTTAATGCTCCCAGCATAGACACCAAACAGCTTACTAATGCGCGTCGCGGCCGGGACCGTGGCACCTTTCAATTCGTTAATTAGGCTGCTGCTTCAAAGTAACAAAATTCAATTAAAATACAAACGAAAAAACCAACAATTCTCGAAAAGTTTATAATTAAATTCACATTTCACATTATCGAAAGTTAAATAGTAAAATGTTAAGTACGAGGAATAACTGCTCTGTTTGCCAGCCAGCAAGTGGATTGCTTGGATGCTAGTAAGTAGTATTGGTAGCAGGAGCTTGGGATGGCAAGTGTAGATAGTCAAGAGGTGTGGGAACGGCACAGGTAAGGGTTGGCAAACAACATGTGGAAAGCATCGACAATGGCAACAACAACTACGGCAAATACATGAAAAGCAACAATAAATAGAACAACATACTAATGGAATAAAAGTAAGCAAAATTTAATACTATAATATTAATGCTATTTAAATACTGAAATAAACACAGAAAGCTCATTAATAAATCGCAAATAGTGGGAAGTGGGGAGTGTGTGGGCATTACTTTGTAAAGATATGTGTATGTATTTATGTGTGGGCGGCTTTAGTTGATATTAAAGTGCGCTTTGCATCTTGCTCATTAAAGTATACAATATTTTTTGCTTGAAGACAATGGTTATTTTCGCAAACATTCAATATGCCGTCAAAAGCAAACAAAAAATTGATGGAGCTATGTATTTCTCGATATCTGTTTATTAATTGCAATACACTTGTTTGAAGGCATGAGAAACCAAAAAAAAAAAAAAAAAATGGAGTATAAATGGGTTCGACTGTGGAACAGCTATCATATGCATGGTTTTTATGTGAATGCAAATCGATGTACACTGGAAAACAAAATCCACTTTACTTTCCATTACATTGCGTTCCTAAAGGGCATTTTAATCATTACATCTAGAACAAATATCAATATTTTAATGCCAACATTTAAATCAAAAATGTTAGCTAAATAAGTTCGTTTTACAGCTAGTTGAACTACTGAAATATGTAGGAACTTGAAATTTAAATTTAATCTGAAATATCAAGAAAAATGTACTTGAACATTTATTTGTTTTAAAATCTATAAGAAGAAACAGCTATACTCTTGGTAGTATAATACTAAAGAGAATTTAAAATTTTTAATGGTTTTTCCAAGTGTTATACGAGTACAATATATACACACAAAGCATTTCACAAACAGAACGCAGCAGTATGTATAAAAAATTGACTTTCGAATATCATCCTGCTGTTATTGTCATTGTTATGGTCAGTCAATTCCGGCATTTTGGCATTGGCAATACAACAATAATAATACTCGTATAAGTTACTAAAGCACTGCAGGAGGGAGCAGATATTAATGTTGTTCTATTGTCAAAAATGGACGGTTGTTCAGTCGCTCATTCAATGTAAGGCGTCCCACGGCTTAACGAGCCAAAATCGTCATAAATGCCCAAAATGGCCAAAACACAGAAACTCACACACACAACGGGAAAATTACCTGAACCAAAGCAAAAGGACGAAGTCGGAGGATTGCACTTACGTGACCAAATCAAAGTTTTAATTACAATACATAAGATTTCGTTCACGCCCGCCACTCAACACAAAAAGGATTGCCAAAGCGAGTCAATACAGAGTTGCCGAGCAAAAAAAATCTACAAACAAATACGCGTAAGAAGAAAGAAGCTAAGGAACACCAGTACACAATAAAAACGCGTTGGTCTCTAATTAAAGCAACGACCGTTGATCCTCTGGAAATATTGGCACAAAAGATAGCGCCACAAAGGCAATTGAAACGCCAGGCCCGACGACAGGCCTGGCTTATTGCCACACAAACCGTCTGCAGTGAGCAATGTTTGTTATGTTGGCCGAAAGGCAGACAGATAGCCAGTCTGACCGACAGACTGGCCGCCTGAGTGGCCATGTGAATGGCAGGCAGGCACGTTATTTCTTTTTTTCCTCTTTTCCTTGTAAGCCTTTTTGGCCATTACGGGCGCCATTGTTTGCCTTGCCATGAAAACGCAGCCCACTTTACACTTTTGCGCCAATTTACAGTAAAGTTTGATGACGGTCCCAGTTGCAATACTACCGTCTAATTATTTGCACATTTCGCTGTGCAAATACTAGTATGTATGCCGCGTATATTTTTTTGTACAAGTATATATTTCTATTTATGTTTCTTTATATAACTACACTCTTTAATTGGTTAGCATGATGAATGCGCTTAATTGCTAAACGGTCAGTTGAATGGCAAACAAAACGCACGGCAAACTATGCAAAATACAAGCACTGGCATAATGCACAGGCGGTGGGGGGCATGAGATGTGTATGGTATAGGGGAGATGGTAGGGAGCTAGTGAATAATAAGAAAGAAATCAACAACCGTTAATGCACTTTCACATTTAATGGCACACAAAATACATATAAACATTTCGCCAAAGGAGGTTTTTTTTTGAGGGGGGTATATTATTTGTTGTTTTTTAAAAGGGGAGTTTCTGTATCATTTAACTTCACGTGAAACATCCGCAAGCCGCTGACGGTAACGAGCCCGGTAGGGTCTACTTATATACGGTACGCTAAAGGGCAGCACGCTACAAATATAAACACAGATATGGAAAAGAGGGAGAGAAGAGAGAAAGAGATAGAGAGAGAATAGATGAGCAACGTGCTGCTAGGCGACGACTCGACTCTAAAACATACTCATACCTAAAGTGCAGGCTCGCAGCTTTACGTTTGGCAGTTACATATGCAAATATTAAAAACTTGACAATTAGACGCACCACGAGGCGTATGAGTATTAAAATGGCCGCTAGATAAAAGCCCACGTCACGCAATTGTACAAAGCTGCCAAATCCTCGTACGTGTGTTTGTGTGTTGTATGCGTGTTTGTGTTTGTGTGTGTGTGCGCGGAAAAAATAAAGAGCATATGAAACAAGAGTTAAAGCACAATACGAACAAAAATATGCTGACTGGCATTGGCATGACAATGAGCAAAAAAAAAAAAAAAAAAAAAACAAAAAAATATATTTGTGGGCAGCCAACGGCATATTGAATATTAATTTTATTATGAATATCATTGAATGCACAATGTAGGTTACTAATTAAAAGCTGAAATTAATTGCAAATACTTTGTTATTATTTTCAAATGTGGTAATTAATATAATAGCCTGCACGACTGGCTTTGGCAATATTTTATGTCCGAATATATATCTTCCAATAAATGCACTTATACTTCTTACATTATATCAGTCTCTTCTAAATGGGTTCAGTTTTTAATTGATGTTGCGTTGTAAATCAATAAGTAAAGCATATATCACAAGTTAGTCACAGCCAGTTGATTGAGTAGCCTCGTAGGACTAGGCAAGTTAGTTAAAGTTAAGTTTGAAAAATCAAAAGGGAAACTTGTGGAACCATTCAATTGAAATTTTGATCAAATACCTGCTGCCACTGTTGCTGCCGCTGCCATAGCGATCCTCGTTGTCCGTCGCGTGATGCGGCGCGGGCACGGCACGGGTTCGCGGCGTCGAAGTCGTTGTCGAGCTGCTGCCGTACCCGCTGCTCGAGGGCGTGGCATAGGCGGAGCTGCGAGCCGACAAGCCGGTATCATCGCGAGATGCGCGTCGTGCCTCGAGCCGATCGCGGTACGAGGACGTGGACGAGGAAGACGCCGTTGTGGCAGCTGACGTTGAGTTGGAGACACTGCTGGGCGTGGATTTGTTAGCGCTGCTGCTGGTCGCACCCGTTTTGGGCTTTGTCTCTGGCTCCGATTCCGATTCGGACTCTGAGCTGGTCTCCTCTTCACTGCTTGAATCGGATTCAGCTTTCTTCTTGTCTGCCGCTCCGTTACTGGCTGCACTTGTGCCGCTGTGTTGTGGCAGGAAACGACTCACGAAGGGCTTCTTCTCGGGCGTGGATGGCGTCGTTGCTGCGGCTGCAGTCGTGCTAGCCTCGCGTGCAGTTGAATATCGTGCCGTCGAAGGCGCTTTTTGCGAGCTGCTGGCCGCCGCTGCTTGGCCCGAGCTGGCTGAGCTTTCGGTGGAAGCGGTAGAGTCGCTGCTGCCAGATCGTTGCGTCTTCTTGACGGCCGCCACTTGGGCGGACATCGGTGGCTTCGACTGTTGGGTAGGAGTGGGAGTTGCATCAGATTCTGTTGCGCTGGCAACCTGTTAGTTCAGTTTTTGTTTGATTGTTTGTTTGGTTTTTGTGGCGTTCGTGGCATTTTATTTTCATTTAGAACAAGCATTTTTGGAAAAATGAAATGCATTCAATGTGTAATTAGAATGACAGCAACAGAGAAAGAGAGAGAGAGAGAGAGAGAGAGAGAGATAGTTAGTGAGCAAGTTGGCGCGGGCTATGCAAATAGCATACATATTCATACGTATGTACATACATACATATGTACTATATGTATGTATGTATGCCCATATGTGCCCATAACAACAGGCATATTCGAACTCATACAAGCGCTTGGCATAGTTTTTGCTTTACGCTGACATGACATGCGGTTTTTTCTCGATAGAACATTGCAAAAATGCCAAAAATAACCACCGAAAGCCGAAAGAAGGCGCGTTGCAAAAACAAAAGAAGACAAATATGCAGCGCATTTTTACACAAATGTATTGTACTTGTATGTACATATCGTATGTATGTGTTCATGTGTGTATATGTATATGTGTGTATATATAGGCATGCTTCCTGAAAATGGTGAAAATGTTGTTAAACTGACGGAAATGCTTTGTCATGAGCAACTTCGATGGCAATGGCGTTGACAGTAATGATTGAAATGTTTGCTGTTTTCAACACGCTCTCCCACTCTCTCACACACAACCGCACACACACATACTCGTATACGAGCACACCGTTGTGGGCTGTGTGTAAGAAAAACCAGAACAATACAAATAGCAAGCAACATATTTACAGCGGACATCAGCACAGAAGAAAAAAACACACAATTGCATGTCAGCAGCCGCGCTTTTTCGGGTTTTCCCCCTCCTTTTACCATTTTAACTTTTTTGTATATTCGAGTATAGTATGTATATTTACAGCATTCAGCTCTTAATCGATTTTGGTTTTATTCAGCTTGTTTTCTTGGCCAAAATTGCAAACAGGTATTTAGTAAGGGTTAAGCAAATTAACATCACTACCACATCGTTTGTCCACTTGTACAGTTTTCGGCAAAAACAGACGGCAAAAAGAAATAGAATAGAACAGAACAGAACAAAAGAGAATAAAATTACTTGCGTTTTTTTTTATTTTTATTTAGTTTGACATAAAAAGTGTAATTTTTATTGCACAAAAATTTGTAGCTGCACTCTCTCTAACAGAGCTGACAATTTAACGACAGGGTAAGAGATGTTAAATTACTAAATGGCACAATGTTGGTTTCGGGGCAGGGGGTAGGGTTGTGTTTCAGAGTGCGTCTTCGTTTTGTTCTCAACTTTGCTGAAATCATTTGTGGCAGCTTCGTTTTGCGGCGCAAAATTATTCGAATTAAGTTGAAAGTTTGTGTGCAAGCAAAGTTCGAAAAGAAAACGTTCATCGCGAATCAGTGTTAAATGGTGGAGGCGCTCTCAATAAATGACAAAACTTAACATACACATACATATAACAAGAATAGTTTGTGGCATTTTCAGGGAAGTTAGGTTAGGCAACGAGTTAAGGTAATTCTAATACATATATCAATCATATACGAAAACTTACGGAGCAGGGGTAGAGTGTGAAGACAAATAAAGAAGAGTAGGATAAGAACAGTGGGCATAACATGGCGTATACGTAATGTGCCATTCACATTATAATTATAATAGCAAAACAGGGCATAAAATATGTATGAACAGCACCAGTGACAGTGGAATAAAACTTGTTTAAGCAATCTCTTACATTACATATTTTTCGTGAAGAATAAGAAAATTATCTTATCTTATTTCAACTTTCGATTTGTGTGCAATTTATAGTTAGGGTTTTTTTGAACTGAGTTCTATACGACTAAAAGGTTAATATAATAAAAAAAAATTTAACTTTTTTTGAAATTGTAGCTGTGCATTTCATAGTCTAACCCCTTGCTATTGCTCCTCTTGTTCATCATCATCGGTCTCATATTCCTCTTCTGTGTCGCTAGATTGTGTCGCTTCTGCAGCCGGTTCTTCGGCAAGACCCTCGGCAGTGACTGCCACAGAGTCATCGTCGCTAGCCTCTAATTCCTCCTCGCTCTCATTGTTTTTATCGACTACCGATGCATGCTCTACAGCGTCCGCATTTTCACTTACTTGTATAAACTCGCTTGCAACTACTTCTACCTTATCTGTTAACTCTTCTTCTGGAGCCACAATATTTATTGTAGGTTGCGTCGTTGGATGTGCCTGTGTTTCTTCTTCTTCAGCGTCTTCACTCTCACTATCTGTTACCTCAACGTACTCATACTCTGAAGAGTCGTCTTCATCCCCACCATCATTACCCTCCATTATCTCTACATTTTGTAACTGAGTGGCTGATTGTTCTTCTTGGTCTTCCACCTCTTCCAAGCCCTGCTCTGGGCTATCGCTTTCTTCCTCATCCCCACTATCACTTTCAGAAGTACTCTCGTTCTCAGTATCGCTGCCACTGTCACTGGGCGCCTCTTCGGGCGCGGCTTGAACGCCTTGCTCATCTTCTTCATTTGTTTCATTCACACTTACCTCAGCTCGCGTCGCCGCTGTACGCACTGGAGATGCCGCCTGAGTAGAACTGTCGCTCTCTTCACTTGCTGCCTGTCCACCACGTTTCAGGGCCGTTACACGATCCGTGTTCGGACGTTCGCCTGTTTCGCTGGTCGCCGCTGCTGGCGTTGAAGCTGTCGGAGTGGCTGTAGATGAGCCGGCAGGAGCGTTTTTATTTTGACGCTTCTGGCGCGCCAGCTCATCATCCTCGGACACCTGACGCTGTGCAGCTGGTGGCTGTTGGGCCTGCTTTTGCCGCTGCATGGCTGCCTTTTGAGCTTGAATGGCTGCCTGGACATTAGCCTGTGCTGCCGCCGCTGCATCCGACTTTTTCTCCTTCTTCTCTTTGCCGATGTCCGCCAGACGCTGTACGACACGCGCACAGTCGCTCAGTCGTATGATGCCGCTAAGCTGGCCACGGGACACGTCCTCACTATCTAGGACGCGATCCTTGCGCTTGTCAAGCTCTTGACGCTGCTGTTGCTGCTGTTCGCTGTCGGAGTCATCGTTCTGATGAGAGCGCACAAAGCGCGATCTGAAGCGCGAGGATTTTCCAGCACGTGATGATTGCTCATTTTCGTATTCATTATCGTAGTCGTAGTCGGAGCGCCCATAGCGACTGCCTGCATCTCCATAACGGTCAGGGTTGACAGTGCGGACGGGTCGCTCGCCAAACTTACGGCCGCCCAAGACGGGCTCGTCATTGTAACCGCCTCGCTCTTCCTGCTGCCTGAACTGTGTGGCCAGGCGATGATCGCTCTTAGAGCGCATCAAGCCCGGCTGAAGGCCAGTGGGTGGTGCCAGATGGGAACTGCTGACCGAACTGCCAGGCGCAGAGTGGGGAGTTATGTTCAGATCACCAAATGTGGCCAAATTCATGACCAGCTGATTGGGATCAATCGACACCATAAAGCGCACACGCCTGCTGTAATCAGCATTCTCATATTCGAAGTGGCGCAAGAACTCGACTGTCTTCAGGAAGATCTCCTTGGTGTCCATAAGCTCGCAATCATCCCATTCCACAGTTTCGTTCATGTACTTATCTACAATATCGCAATTGCTGGTGATGTTATTGATTTCGAGGTCAAGGTTTTCCTTGAGCGTGGTCAGGTTGCGTAGCTCCACAGCCAGATACCGATCGATTTCACCCTTCAGCTGATCTGAACGATCCTTAATCGCTTTAGTTATGCGACGGTAGATCTCATCAATTTCCTCAGTTACGCTGATGGCGTTCGTTTGCAAACTAAGTGTGTTCTTCTCGATGATGGCCAGCGAGTCCTGTAGTCGGTGCAAGCTGCGGCGTATCTAACATTTTTAAAATGTGGACGATACAAATCGGTGTAGATCAAAAATTTTATGCATTTACCGCGTCATATTTACCTGTGAGTTAAAACGCGTGATCTCACGTCTCAGTATGTCCATGTGGGCGCTCTTACAGTCGTCGCAGATCTTCTTCTCACAGTGGGCGCAGTGCGACAAATAGGCTTTCTCTGAACAGACACCGCAACGTTCCATAATTTGACCTGTAAAGGAGTCATTGATTCATATGCATTAGAAATCAATATATAAAACGTTTTTTCCCTGTTTAAAATATTGTAACGTAATCTTAATTAGGAAAATAAAGATATAAAAAACATATTTTATTTAAAAAGCGAAACAAAATATGAATAAACCCATATGTCTTTTTTTAAACTAGCTTTAGTTTTCTATTCGCCCTAAAGCGCATCTCTAATATGGGAACCCAAACAAATAAAATGCAGGCGCATACCCCTTGATATGGCTCATCAATTTCAGCTTCAATTGCGGCATAAAAATGCAACAATGTTGCAAACAACTTCAGCAAACAAGCAACGACAACGACAACTACAGCAAGCAGCACTCAAACATGCATAACACGCCCTACTGAGTTGTTGCTCAGCTCGACTAATGCGCTTCCAACAGCTTCTGCAACTACTTTTTGCAGCAACCAGTTCTGCATCTGACAGTTACAAAGGCAACAGCAGCACCAAATGTGAGAAATCAACTGCACCTAAGCTGTTATTTGTGTTTATATGTCGATGCAGGCAGCATGCCCTCCTGCCATCCCAAACAGCTATTGTGTTTCTGTTTGCACTAAAGATGGTGCGTGACAATATGACATCGAACTCAGTAAAGAATTCTAACATTGATATTCAAAAAGAGAACCTGGCTTAGTTTATTGGTGTGATCACGTATCTATCTTAGTATACCAAACAAATACTTATTAATATATCCAAAGATGCATCGACTCATTAATAGGTAACGCCATAATCGCACCTTATCAATAAAATAAGATTTTTTGGGATAAGTTTCCTTCATCCTTAGATTGCTGGACCGCGAAGGCAGCACATTAAAATCTAACTATATTTAATGTAATATTTAAATTTTCAAATTAAATAAATAAAATGTCCTTGTATTCATATCTCTTTTCTGCTCACGATCACCTTATTACCATACCCTTCTCTAGCATACATATTTTACTAAATCGTCTTGACGGTGCTATGCAAATAACAAGCTATCCCCCTCTCCTCCACCCATGATCCGTTCTTCTTTGTTAACTGTGGGGACGGCATGCGACAACTATGCAAACTTTTCACATTGGCTCGTATGAGTCGCTGCGGCTCATTGCTCGGCAGTCAACACAATTGACGCGTAAGCTGCATACTTGCCTCCCAATATAGTAACCATCCCAACTACCACCACCCACCAGCCGCAAAAGAGCCATGTAACAAGTTGTGTCGCAACTCACCAACACCACTGCAGAGCTCTGAATGTAAAGTTGCCGGCGTCGATTGCTCGCCTGCATATTGGGTATGAACTTGGTAGCCCAATCTCTTCTTGCTCACTCTCATTTTTGCATGACAATAAACTTGCTGCACGACATAGTCAGACACGTCGATATACACTGCCACATTACATGTAGTACACACACACACACACACACACACAATTGCTTGGCTCTGTCAAGGCAGCTGGTCTGGAAAGTATGCAGTGCTTGTCGTACTGTGCCAATAGTTGGCCGTATTTTCTTGTGTAATCATATGGAAAAGTGAATTTGCAAATACCTACATATATATACATATATACATACTCGCACAAACATACATACATATCATATGCCATGCACAGTTATCCATAACAAAAGTTGCTGCTTGTTTGAAAGGATTTGTATGCTGCCTGCTCCGCTTCCCCCTTTTGGTTTTACATATTTACATAGCAATTGTCGAAATTCTTTCTTTGTCTGCTTATTAACTAGTGTATGCTTGATGCTGATTGCAAATGGCACTTATTTGCATTTGGTGATGAGCGTTTCCTCCACCCAAACCCCCTACATTCCTCTTGATAGAAAAAAAAAGAAGCAATTTGTTATTTCAAATTGTTTCAACTATCAACTTTTGACTCATTTGCATAGTCAGCCACCCTGCAATTTCCTACGCAATTTGGCCACGATGCCAAGCTTTCGTTTGTATAATTTAGTCGGATGTAAAAATCAATTTGCTTAGTTTTAATTTGGTAACGTGTTACACGCAAAAAACAAAGCCAGCCAGACACAAAGACTCGGCTTTTAATTGAAAACCAAAAATGCGTCAAATGTTCTATTATTTCCTTTTTTTGAATTTAATTAAAGTTTCACGAGCTTTGTGGCCCAGTATATGAATTGTAAAAATATTTTATTACTATTTTCGGCTTACAAACTGGCACAAATTCTAACGTAAATTAAATTAAATATATTTTTTTGCAATCGAAATTGATATGTGCAACGTATTGCCATCACAAAGGCAAAGAGTATTTTTGGACAAATATTAAAAATTGTTCCCAATGGAGAAAAAGTATGCCGGTTGTTATTGCAATTTTTCATAGCCATGGACATTCCTGAAAGGAATCATGTGCGCCAAATGCATAGGGTCAAAGCGAATCCAAAAAATGTAATTAAGAAATTCCAATCAAGTCAAAGAATTTACTCTTTTTTTTATAATCAATAAAAAAGCCTTATTCTGACATACGTATTATATAGCCATTAGCTTTACCCACCTGATGTTGGATCTGGCAGTTCTCCGGTTATTTCGATATGCAGCTCGAGAAAGCGTTGCAGTGTCACATTGGTGGGAAATGCCTGAACACCATTGTAGGGTATGCGATGCTCGGCACGACATTCGGGGCACTTGACCTATAAGTAGACGCGAGTTCTTGTGTTATATAGATATGTACATATAAATAAGCTCATCAGCTGTCAGACGAAAAATAATTGTAAATAATTGGACATCCCCATTGCCCAGCAAAGTCCACAGATGTAATGAATATTCAATGCACATTTTTTTCCCTCATAATTTTTCTTATTTTGTTCTGTTCACTGCCCTTCACTCAAGGTTCTTACCCCATCTGATTGTGGTTATAAGCGATGTGTGTTTTGAATGAATCTGTATTTGTCTTTAAATAATTGTTACATATCATTGAAAAGATCGACTCTGCAACCCATTTCTCCTGCCATGCATGATTTATTTTTGGTTATCTATTTTTATTCTTAATACATAAATCTCCTTAAGTTTCCAATCAATAAATGGGAAAAATATAAATAGTCATTTGAAAAATTTATTTATCTTTATACTTATTTGCGTATACATTTTTCCTTAACGCTTTTCTTATCAATGAGATTAACAAGCTTTAAATAAGTTTCAGTTTTCTTTATTATAGTGCCAGCAGCTGCATACAAGTGAAAAATTCTCGATGAAATTATATAAGCTTCTTCATAAGATAAGATAAAATGCCTTGGCTGTTTATTTTGTAAACTGCGAGCTATCCTAAGTGACCAATTATATTCCAGCAAAAGGCCTTTTAAACTACAAGTATTCGTGGCATAGCAATATTGCAGAATTTCACTCTCAGCTTTTGAAATTATATATGAGAAATGAAACTTCATCGCAAATACTAAGAATTGTACTTTCTTGAATTAGAATAACAAATATGTAGTAGTAGTAGCTCCAAATTGCAAATATAAACTATTAGTTTATATTTTCAACCTGTTTTCAATTCAACTCAATCGAATGTGTGGTGCTATAAAAACCTCTTGCACAATCAGTGTCGCATGCAGAGGCATCTTGAGCCCGGTTCATTCTTCATCTTTGTCGCGAATTCGAAGCCAAGAAAAAGTGTTAGGCGTCTTTAGCTTGGCATTACAGGACAGTTATTGGTGCGCGAGTCTACAATGTGTTTTGGCAGCACAAAGAGAATTCTTACCAATTATTTGCGTGGCGTTTCGCCTTTGCTGGCGAAAAGCCAAAGGAAATTTATAAATATGCTTACACACACGCGTTTATAGGTATAAGTGCATATATACTAGCTTGACGCGCACAAAATACGTATATCTATGCATACATATACTTGTACATAGACATACTATATGTACATATATAAAATTTATATTTTTCAGCAGCAAAGAAAAATCTACGCAAATGCGCCCAAAGTAAGAAAAAAATATAAATGTTCGAAAAAGAAAAATAAAAACTCAACTCATTTCGACAATGTCTGCTGTTTCTGCCCCACGCAAATATAGTACCTCGGAATGCTTTTTGTTTTCACTTGCTTTATGCGTTTTCGTTTCTAGCTTTTTTTTGTTTTCCTTTTTGTTTTGCGAGCAATCTATTAAGTATCTTTCTAGCTTGTGACGTAGTATAGAATAATCTGCAGCATTTACGAAATTACCCCTCGTCCACCCACATACAAATTGCATGCGCTTTCATTATGATATTTGTACGACTTGCGCAAAGCTCTCTGCAAAGTGTTCGCAGCTCAACTCACCTGCCGCCTCACATAGTCCACCAGGCCCTCCATACAGGGCTCCATGCAAAAGGAGTGCTGGCATGGCAACAGTTTCGGTATACGATACCGATCCAGGCACACGCAGCAAGTCAGCAATTGTTCAAACTGCTCCATGGTTCACTGCAAATAAAGAGAGGGGAAATTTTTTAATACTCGGACTATTTCATTAGGCAGAATTATGCATCAGCTATTGGTGCTGAAGACGCTTTATTAAGCCATCAATTTAGTATTCATATCATTATAAATTCACGCCCTAATCACAGTCGCGACCGAATCACTAAGCACGTATTTATTCAAGTATGTATGACATTGCCGTCCTCGTCCTTGTGGGAACGCACCGCTAAGCTCCAAATCCGATTTGCTACATTATTTGAATGAACACAAGCTCGCAAAAACAATATGCTATATACAGTCAATGCCAACAACGACTGAAATACAAAAGCTCCACAATAAATTGACCAGCGAGACCACCGCACCGCAATAAAGAGCCCCTACCCCGTCCACAAGAACAACGGAATCTAAATAGGCTGCACGACTTGCGCTTCATTTAGTCTCCGCATACGAATTTACGTATACGAGTATATAATAATATTCTAAGCCAAAAATCTGCTTATGACGTTCATTAAAAGCAGCTGAGCAGTTTATTTAAAAAGAAGTCGAAGCTCCTGCCAAAAATAAGCAAGCAAAAGGCAGCTAACTAGGGGGAGGGAAAAAGCTGACAACAGGAAGAAGGAGCGCAATCAGCTGGTCACTAGTCAAGGAAACATTTTGAAGGTGGGTGGCTTAATGTGCCGAAATACCAAACAGCTCCTAGCATAAGAATTATGTATATCACAAGAGACTTCACATAGATATACACATCTAAGTACTTTCCTATGTTCTCTATTGGTGACTGTGTAGTGCAAGGACTTTAAAATCAAATGTCTTGTGTTAAAAGTAGATTTGGAAGCTTGGGTTTTAAACTGGCAGTTGAGGTAAATGTTATTTTGCTTCTTCTTTAGCCTTTAAATGTCATGTGACATTTTGTGTTCATATTTCAAAGAATAAAATAATTTGTAAAATGTAGTTCGGTGTGCTAAAGAGAAGTCAACGTGCCAACTAGACAATCGTTTTAAGGGTTTTAAAACATGCAAAAGATGAATACAAATAATAAATATTCAATATGTCTTAATTTATATGATGAAAAACGTTCTTCTTTAACTTCTTAAAACCTCTTCATTGGTTCACAATATTTAAATAATTATTATTTAGTACATATGTGTGCATGTATATGAGAAATATAAAAATATTTAAAGTAATGAACGCCATTTGTGAACTACAAAGTCAAGCTGCGGATAACACAAATAAAACGGAAGCTTGAAATAAGTGCTTAACTTTATTTCAGTTTGCTTTGCACACAATTTTCAATAAAGCGTCCGATATTTATTTTTGCATACTATCCTATTAATAAAAACACACATGCACTCACCCATAAATGGTGATTCAAATGTTACCAACACGACTATGGAGAAATTTCAGCACGCATTCATCTACAAGTTGCCAATTTCGATTGAAAGCCAAGGAACTTAACTCGTTTGGATTTCACAGAATGGGATTTTAAGTGGCAATGGTTGGTAGGGTGGTGGGAAATAACGGACTACTAAATTGGACAATGAATACAAACAACTATATTGTATGTATGTAAGTATGTGTGTGTCTGTGGTCTTCAAGCGCTTTCAATTTAATCCTATTCACGTCAATTTAAATGCATCGGCCAAATTAGTTTTGCCACACACATGCGGCGCACCGCCCTTTTCTCACGACCGCCACGCCCACCACGCCCACCACGCCCACCACTTTACCACGCACAATTTGACGTAGCGTCCAGTTCGACGAATGTGAATGCGACGAAATTTCTATTCAATTCGTATTTTAAGCGCATTTTCCAGTTAATTGCACGCTATTCGCATGTGATTTTCCACCAAGTGCTCTTAAATGACAAACTGTGCGGCTGCGGGCGGTCTGTGGGGTGCAACCCTTTATTATACGTTCTATATATACTATTATGTGTTCATCGGACATAATTGCATGAACTTTTGGCCACATTAAAGCGAAAGTGTACGTTTAAAGAATCAGTCATTAAACTCTGCAGCTGTGTCTGCGTGTGGAAAATGTAATAATGGAAAAAGGCGTACAACAATTAGCGGTGTAGCTGTTTATTTACGATATTACCGGTGCAGTAAAGCAGGAAGTGCGCAGACGAAGAGGCAAGCATACACAGCTTATACGCGATGCAGCCAACGACTCGGTCGTGCACAACACGCCACATCGCACATCACACATACTTGTAGACAACGGGCGGCACAGAATGTATTTATTTATACATTTTTGGCGTAGGAAATGTGTGTCATTTTTATTATTAAAATTCCTTCGAAGCTTTTGGCGCATTTTGCCTTCATTTTAATTTCGCAAGTGCGCGTCAGCCTTTTGGCTTTAGCTTCATTGGAAAGGGTTAAGCACCGCTCAACAATGCTTATTGCATGGCGTACAGGTTCGATAAAAGTTAATTTTGCTTTGTGTATTCTATGAAAACGGGTAAATAAATAGAAGTGGGTGGCCTCAGTTAAAAGATTCTACGCATTTGTTAATAATAAAATATAATTTTTAAATAACTTCATCAAAATCGTATCGTACTTATTTCAATTTATTTTTAAAGCTGACTATAGTATATAGCAATAAATCGAAGGCTCGCAGTTTTTTATTAATTTCAATTCAGGCAAATTTACTATACATAATACATCAATCTAAAAAAAAACTATCTAACTCATCTTAGACTAAATAGAAAGAAAAAAAGAAAATGTACACAAGGTCAGTAAAAAGAAATCAACGAATAAGTGAAGTAACACTTATAATCCGATTATGCCAAAAACAACGATGTCTTAATTTAGGAAAGCCCAATATCTTTGAGAGTATTCAATATATATGTAAAGTGATTAGCTTTGGAACGCCAGTATTTGTTTGTTCAGTGGCAGTGCGTAGAGCAGTATTGTTTATCCGACGAGTGGCGTGCGTCCATCATAAGATTAATGTGCGCAGTTGTTAGGCGCTTTGTTTTCGTTTCACAGTAACCTTGAATTTTAAAATTAGCCAATTATGCGACAGCCTAAGCGGAAACGGAAGAGCGTGCAGTGGTCAACTGTGAATGGCCATCGTGTGTTTCTGCCAGAGTTCAAAGACTTGAAGCTATTGGCCGTGAACACTGTCAATGTAACATGCAATTACTTTGCCAGCATAGCTTCTCAGCTACTGTGTAAACTGTTTGCCAACTCAAAAGCAACAATCAGTATATTTAGCAATCAATCAATGCGAAATTGGGTCATTCAAACAATCAATTATAAAAACCAGAAACTGTTTAAAAATAAAAAGACGGACACCCGTTTTACCAACTGTCGAAAGTGCCAAAAATCGACAACGAAATAGATGAAACGATTTCCTGTCAAACGTCAAACAACCAAACCAACTAAACCAAACCAAAATCCAAGGAAAGTAAAGGCAAACGATTGAAAATAAATAAATAAAAATACAAATTTGGGTCACACAAAGAGCGCGACACATTGACACATTTAACAGTTTAAACGCAAAACCTCAGACTTTATATCCTAGAAAAGGGAGCCCACTTGGCGACAGCTTACCAATAAAATTCAGAAACTGTTCACTGGCCGCTGCCTTCAATATGGCTGCTCTATCAAAGCGGCACTCAGAGGCAATCATAAAATGCAATTGGCTTCAAACTGGGCTAAATGAAATGGTTTTTGAAAGTTATTCGTAACAGCAAGGCAAAGCCACTCGGTACCGATTTGATTAATTGCTATAAATAATTTGTAACTTTTCGAATAAAATAAACTTTGAATATTTGGCACTCGACACAATTTTCAACTGAACTCTTTACTCTAGCACAGATGTATATAACATTCAATATTCATTATTAAATTGAAAACTTCAATCGATTGCTTTATTTCTTGAATATCTATTTTTTATTTGTATTGCTCTTTTATCGTGATCGTATATTGCGACGCGCTTGGTACAATTTTATTGAAAATGTAAAAACCGACTGAAGTGAAAATTGCCAAGCACATGAGCCGCAAGTTGCGCGCATGAAAGCGAAAAAGAGGCTCTGTATATTATTTAAATATATATGTATACAATTCGTTGTGTATACATAGATGGCGACCAGATACAAACAAACACCACGATCGAAATACAAACGCCAAAAGATATTCTTGGCACACACTTACGCACTGCTTTGAGATTGGGAAAGAGAGCGAGAAAAGTGTCCGGAGAGGGCAACATATGTTATATTTGGCACTCCCAGACATACACATGTATGTGTGTATATTTAAATATATATATATATATATTTGTTTATCTATATGTAAAGTTGGCGAGAGACTATCTGACAAGTATGAGCATTAGAGTTTCAAATGAAGTCCTTATGTTGCTTCAATTAAGTTCAAGCCACAAGAAAGTATTTTCAATTCCGTCTGGCGTGCTCTCAACTATTTATGTTATTTTTCAGATACTCGTGCGAGTACACGCACATTTGGCAGCTCACACATACTCGGGCAACACCTCGTTGACGTCATTAAATGTTTTACCATTAGACACGGCTGCTGTTGAGGTTGCTATTAATAAAGCCGCAAGCAGATACCGTCTTGGGCTCCCAGCACTTGCCGGCTTTCCTACACAGTATCTGTTTGTATATGCTCGAATATACCTACAGTTTATATACATATAGAAGCTGGTGTGTGCAACATCATGTAAAATCTAAAATTAAACTTCATTGAAAATTGGAGCGTTTTGCCATCTGAATTACAAGCATTTCATATGGCACCAATTATATCTCAGTGTTTGAGCAATCGACCCACCCAATCCGTCCCCCTCTTGATGTTTCGAGCTACACACTTCATTCTAGCGGTGTCGAGAAGCTTATTGACACATGTATGATGAACTTCTGAAATTATCCTCATTAAATGAACCACTCGATATCGCTTAATTGGGTCTATTGAATATCATGCCTGCTGGCCATTGCTGGCCTTTAGTGTGGGCGACAGGACCAGCATTTTGTAATGCATTGCAAAATCAATTAAAGTATTTCGTGTAATAATGTCAGAGCTTTCGATCCCTGAAGTCCATTAACATCGCCCACTGCTGGGCAGCTGTCACCCAAACAACAACTCCCTGTGCACAACATAGTACGTGTACATCGTATAGGCATATTACAAGTATAATTTCGTGAGCTGATGCAGAGTCAACTCTTCAAGGTCGGCCTCTATGCACCTAAGAGCGAAGTAACTGCTAAAAATAGTGCTCTTCTCTGGAATTTTCAATATGCGCTGTTCACATTGACTGCAGGATTTAAATGCTAGCAAGAATTTATGCTATAAATATCCACAAAAAAAGGGACTGACACCTCTCAGACAGGGCCCAATGACAATCTAAAAATCTTGAACATCTGATTTCACTCGATCTCAATACTTATTCAGCTGCTTAGATTATTTATAACAAAATCTTTTCGGGAAACAGTGCTTTTCCTCATTCAAATTTAATATAATGATTTAACAAATCAAAACATCAACTATTTAAGGAACACTTATACCTTAAGCCAGAAACAAAGTTGAGGAAAAATTAACATACTTGTACATACACATACATATAGTACTTCATTTTTCCGGCTTTTCTAAACTCTATTCGAACCTGAATATTAAAGATATTGATCAATTTTCGAATAATATTAATAAAATACAAAATGTCTTTTTATAATGTTGTAGTACTTACAGTTTCTTGTTTACTCTGGTTTCACCAGGAAATATTATCCGAGGCGCCCTGTGGGGCCCTGCTACGTTCCTGTTAACTGTTATTACTGCAAATGCAAATATAGAAACCATTTCAATTATTTAAGATTGTCTAAGGCAAATTAGCAGCTAATAGTATGGGTGAATGATTAATCAATTGATTTTTGGCTCGCGCTCAGCAATTAGCTGCCGTGTCGGCAATTGAAAGCCAACAAGGCAAGCGGAAGTATCGCATACGCACACACACATGAAGAAGAATTAATATAAGATGAAAACAGAAACCAAATTAATTTGCTTTTACCACAACACAGACAAAGAGCAAGGCTGGCGAGTTTGCTCTTAATCATCTTTCAATGCCACCACACCCGCACATATTGTCGCCTCAGCGCTAATTAATTTCGCAATTCCAATTAAAAGTGCATTTATATGCTCAGCATCCCATTAAAAAGAACATTAACAAATGCAGAGCATTATATGGCCCTTTTTTATGTGCAACTGACGCTACGGTGCATAATTGTATTATGCATATAATGCAAATAATAATAGTTTGGTAATTTAATTACATCAAGACAAAGGAAACAATACATATACAGGTACATTAAAACAAAAGGTAACTGTAAATTGTATACAAATTGAAATGCAGGCTACTTCAAGGGACGACATACAAATATATTTCAGCTTGATTGAGCAAGTTGTAATTAACAAGATGCATTCATCGAAATGGTTTTATTTCAAGCTGCTAATGAAGGTCACCGAAGACTTCTGCCAAGACGCACCCAAAGATTGAGTGTGAGCATGCATACACTCATAACAAAAGAGAACGCAAGCCCGACAGTGAAATACCCTGTACCCAGACAAACTTCCGTCACTGAGTTATATGCGCCCATAGCAGAAGCCAAAAGAGAAAGAAGAAGAGCGAACTTGTTGCTGCAGCTTGGGGGGTTGTACTGGAGAGAATTTGTTTCGCAAGAATTTTAAACTAAAGTAGATAACTGTACATTGATTGCGAGTGCAATATTTGGTTTATTTTGCTTTTGAAATGTGGACCGTATTGACGAAATACTGTAGCGGAAGAGAGAAATCGATCTAGACATGTCCGTCCGTCTGTCTGTCTGGATGAACGCAAGGATCTCAGAAACTATAAAAGCTAAAATAACCAAAGTTGGCATCCAGATTCTCCGAGGTCCGAGAAAGGACGAGTTTATTTTTTTTTTAATTTTCCCCACCTTCCCCCGCTACAGAATTTCGTCAATACCGTCCACATTTCAAATGCTACCTAAACCAAACATTGCACACATAATTTATATATAATTATCTACTGTTGTTTAAAATGTCTGTCAATTCTAAGAAAAGTTATTAGCGAAACAAATTCTCGCCAGTACAACCTCCCCAAACTGCAGCAACAAGTTCGCTCTTCTTCTTCCTATTTTTGCTGCTGCTTTGAGCGCATATAACTCAGTGGCGGAAGTTTACCTGGGTACAGGGTATTGCACTGTCGGGCTTGCTCGACTGTAGCGTTCTCTCTAGTTTTATAATGATATCGCGTTCATTCAATATGCATTTTTATTTATTTATTTTGACCATTTTAATTAGAAAGTAACTTTCCAAACTATTTAGTTATTATTAATATTTGAATTTTTACTATTTAAAAGAGTATAGTTCAATATTGACATGAAAGTGAGGAATAACTGATTACACTTGCTTGACACATATGACAAGTGCCTTACAATTTGTGTTTATACCACAAAGCCGATAAAAACCGACTGGGGGAATTTTAGTGAATCTGTCTATATTTTATGGTTCAACATTAAATTGATTATGGCACACTTTTAATAACAAAGACTTACACTTTTTTTTGAATATTATTCATATTTATATAAATAATTGAATTTTTTCAGTTAAATTAAAGTTGTTTATTTTAGATTTACGAGTAAATTAAAAATATTAAAATATTGAATTGAATACGAAAATACTCATTTATACTACGATTTTTTTTTTAATGTACGATTGTTTGCAGAATCTTCAGATGAAATTTCAATGCGTATTGGAACACGCAAGTCAAGCATTTGCTACAAATCATAAATATCTACAGTGTAGATTCTGAAGACATCAAATGTCATAAGTATGCCAGTCAGTCGGCTCGTAAAAAACGCATCATTTTTAATTTGAAAATGGCTAGATCTGTTTTAATTACACTTCATCCAAGTATAGCAGAAGTGTGTAATCTGCAACTATGTTTGCATGCGTGGCCTGTTTACATGTGAATATGTGTGTATGGTAGTGCGTTTGCAATGGCCTTGAACTTTAACTTGCACCACGTGACAATGCGAGTGCGAGTAGCCGAGAAGCTAAAACTTCGGTGATGGCACAGCTGTGTTATGCAGTTGCGAAATTTATGTAGCATACTTTTGGGCTATTTCAAATAAACCATCGAATGAAATGTAATAATAGATACAGGCGTGTGCGAAGAATACATATACTTGTATATGTATTTACTTATGTATGAGTGTAGGTGATGATACACATGTATAATAAATTAAAATTGTGAAACAAAGAATAGCTTTCATTGAGGCACTGAAAGAAAATAGCAAAAACAAAATTAGACGCATGCAAATTTAAATATTTTTATATATCAAAATAACTGGCGTAAATAATCAGGTGTGAATATAAAAATAAATTGCTATAAACAAACCAATGTACTATGCAGTAAACATTTTTGGCTTTTTCCGAAAACTGCTGCCAAAGCGCAAAACGCAAAAAAAAAAACAATAAATGAGCAATAACTTTGGCGCAAAGCACATTTGATAAACGCAACAAGAAAAATCGAGCATAAAAAGCTTGGAAAAAGAATCAAATAAAATAGAATGAAAATGTCGCTTTCTGTGCGCCATCGCGCTTTTGATTGAATAAAAACTAAAAATAAAACGCCAACACGTCGCTTGAAGTATGAAAATGTGGCTAGACTATAAAAAAAATATACCGCATATATGCATAAGTGAGTATGAATATAAAACTATGGCTAAATAAATAAATTTGAAAAGGCAACAACAAACAACAGGCATGGGCGACATTGAGCAAAGTGTAAGAAATATGAAAATAATTTTGACAGCTTTCAAGCTTGTGGGACGGTGACAGCGGCAGCACCAGCGATGACGACGGCGGCGGCGACGACGATGTCGATGTCGACGGCAGCGCAAATGCCAGGTGACATTTTCAGATGAAAAAATGTTTAAGTTTTGCTTTATATTTTACATAATCAGGCAGCGCGGAGCATATTTATTTTTAATGCGCTTCACTCACTTGGCGGCTGTGCTGCAATTTGGCAATAATTTGATAGACTTTTTATATTTATTTCGTGTGGCATGCATTCGCATGCCTTGACGGCGCGTTTGAGGTGACGATGGCACTTTCTTGATTGATTGATTCTATCAAATTAGATTTTTCATAAATTTTCAACACTCGCGGTTTCGTTCACTGGTGCAGTGCGTTTCTGCACCCTGTCCGTTGCACGGGAATTTAAATCAGTTATATTGGCACAGTTCTTCGGGCATACGCTCAGGTATTTATATACATATATTCGTATATATATCCACACAGAATGTGTATCGAAAAAGGTAAATCTATCGGTTTGAATGCGACACGTCCGCTCGCGAGCGTGCTACAAATGAAAATGAATGTTCTCAAGAGCTCCGTGACTCTGATCAGCCGTTCTGAGGTGAATTTATAAAAATAAAGTGCAAAACAACAACAGAAAAAACAACAGCAACGACGACAGCAGCAACAACAAAAACCGTACAAATATTTGTATATATTTCCTCTTTTTTTGCCCACTTTCACAAGAGCTTTCCTTACACGATCGCATGAAAAATAAGTTGTCTGTTGCCTACACACACATAAAAAAATGTGGAAATATTAGTGCATTTACTGCAATTTTGTAATGAAATTTTCTTTGTAGCTCGCATAAAGGAAGCGAGCAATTGATATTCATACACACATTATCGCACATCGTATTGCAATTGGCCGAGGTCTTTCCTTATATCGGAATTTAAATTTGTTTCACATCTATAGACAACATTCACTTTTGATGTCCAGCGCTGTTCCGCTGTCAAGGCAACCCACGCGTATTCTTAATGTGTGAATCATTTGCAATTTTCGTATCTATCTATTTGAATTTATAAATATTTATTGAAATGGCCGCGCGAAAATACCTTCGTACCCATATAATGTTGCCAACAAAATTTATGTGCTACAATGCTTGTTGTCTTAATAAACTTTCATTTCCAATTTGCATGGCAAATGCTATAAAATATCATGGCTATAATAAAAACTCATAAAACTATACTCGTACATAGGTCACAAAGCGCACAGAGCAAATCTGACCACCCTATACAATAAAAGTCAACTACTACACAACGAAGGCCTCTGAAATACTTGCATACATATACACCTCAAGTAGTATACACTGAAAGAACATACACTCTCAGAAAACCACTTGCCAATTTCAATTAGGTTTTTTGAGTTCGAATATTTGTTATATGCCAACGTTAATAAATTAATGAAGCATCGCATAATAATATTACGTTCTATATCGGAAAATACTGCTAAAAGTATAATCGCAGTTATAAAAAATATACTAAAAAATCTTACATTGATAAGTGGAAATAAGATTTTGATTTTCTTGTGAAAGATTAAGTAGAAAATAATTTGAAATATTATTACATCGATGCCAATTTTATATAACTTGTTCCAGTGTACAAACGGCTCAGCCTTATAGTGAAAGGAGGGAGTTTATTTGCGCCGCCATTAGACTGCTTGTCTTTTGTTTAACGCACAACGTGCTATCCTCGCTTGCTGTCTGCCTGACTGGCTGGCTCTCTGTCCCTCTGTCTGTCCGTCTGTCTAGTTGACAGGCTATTGTCAATCTGTGTTGATGAATTTATGTTGTGATTTTTCCGCAACAATACAAAAGCCGCCAAGTGCAGGCCAATGCCGGGAGTGCGTATGCGTCTGTGTAAGTGTGTGTGCCTGTTTTGTTGTATTTGTAAACATGCAATTTATGACAGGCACGATAACTTTTCATCACCAAGATGTCAGCAGCACAAACGATGTCCGTGTCCCCCCACAATTCGCAGTGCAGACAACAGAACGCGCGCTGTCCATTATAGACCAATCGCAACACATCAGCTGATGGACTCGGTCATGCATGTGGATATATGGGTATGTGGAAGTGCATTTGGCTTTTGTTTAATGCGCATTTATTGGCCGCATTGTCTTGGTCAGATTGTCATAATTATTTAAGTGGCGTGCAAGAATTTGTCAAGTGCACAATTCGATGACCTTTTTTGCAGACTGACAATGCAGCTCATGCTCTAGTCGATAGCAATACTATATATTTACTCAAGAAAGCCTACATAAACAGAACTTATCACCTTTCATGACATCCGATTTCCACGTACATTTAATTTAATACTAGCACATATTGGCTGGTTATAATTTAATTAAATGCAATGCCACTGATTAAGCGAAGAGACCACAAATAGCATACAAATCTGCTAATTTAGATAAAGTAAGAACAACTTTAGAAAAAAAAACCTTGGTCTGATATCGTCAATGAAACTTTTTGTCTTAAATAGAGGAGATTATTATGACAAACCGATTGTAAATATAATTTATAAAAACAATTTATGTTTTAATGCAAATTGATTGCTTACATTTTATGAAAAAACAAATTTGTTATTTATTACTACTTAAATGATATCTTAAGTTGATGTCAGATATCTTTTCAGTTAAATATAAGCAATATTGAAGCTGCCTAAGAATGAATTCTTCAAAAAACTACGTAAAATTAAATATAAATGTAGGTTTGAAATACAAATTAGTTTATTTGGGATATACATAAGTTTTAAAGTTACATGAATAGTTAAAATAAAAGAAATGCGCAGCACTTCCGCGAACAACACTTCAAACTGGCCTTGGCAACAACTATTGTCTTTTTTAGTACTCAACACGAACACTCCCTGTCTACACACTGACCCGCAACTCCCAAGCAACTCACTTTAGCCACTCAACTCAAGCGAATGAATTATTCTCCTCTTGTGTTCGATTCTTAAGCCTATCGATACTCGCCGATGCCATATTAGACCAGGGTTGCTAGTAGGGCATTCTACTCCCGCCTTATTCCCCACATCCTACATAAATATAATATTGCATAACATTTTTAGATTCTAAATAGACATAATAATTTAAAGCCAATAATAGTTCGTAAGGTATATAAGCTATATAATATTTCTTATATGGAATTATATTCATTTTTAACTAATCGCTTATATCTTTTTCAAACTAAAAGATTTTCACATACTACGTATTTAAACAAGCTTGCAAACATAATATAATGAACTTATTTTGAAATATTCCAGCTAATGATTGGGTTTCAATGTAATGTAATGCGAAACAGCAAACATTAGCATAAAACAAAGGTGATTTAATTGCCTGTAATTTATTTTTATATTACACCAATATGTTACCTTTCTCACAACTTATAATTCGATAACTACCACCATATTTATTAATAAAACAAAAAATAACAGAAATTAATTTTTTTAAACGATTTGCGGCGATTTTATTGAAAAGCGAATGAATAATACATCTTAGTAGAAAATAAGTAAATATTGTTTTCTACGCTCTTAGATATTACAATATTAGTCTTTTGCATTAATATTCAGATACTGAAAACATTCTGCTGTTAATACTGTAATCTGCAGTACCAGGAAGCTTTTCCAACACTGCATCAGATAGGGGTTTCCCTAATAAGCGACTGAAAAATGAATGCGCGCTTGTTTTCTTGCAAAGACAATCCAAACCCTCGCCTCAGTTCGATTTTAGATATCTACTTGAGCACATTAAGCTGCGCAATGCCACAAGATAACAACAAAAAAGCTAAAGACATAATAACATGCCTAGCAATTGCTATCCTGCAAGGCGTGATTTCCTCTGGGTTACTAGCTTACTCGGTAAAAAATAGTATGAATGTACTTTTTGCAATTTCTGTAGTTCACCTAGCTTTCAGCATCCTTCTTTTAATCGCAGCTTGTGCAGTAAGTAACGTTTACATATTATTGTATATATGTATGTATACTATATGTATCCATACATACACATACGTGCCTCTTTCAGATGTTTTATGGTCTGATGGTCATTTGGATCGCACACATGTTAATCAATTGGTATGCCGGCGTGCTTTTCACTCTTTATATGTGGCGCGATCCCATAAAACAAAATTATAATTTCATACCAATTGAGGCCCTCATAACTATTTTGAGTAAGTATAATTTGGTCAACAAAAAGTCTGTCAAATTACCTAAATCGTTTGACTTTCCAGTTTTCACCATGGCAGCAGTCTCTCAAATAGCTGCAGTAATTAATGGGAATCGCGAGCATGAGTCAAAACCAACCAGGCCAAATGAAACCACAGCTGCCTAAGAAGCGGCTATTTTTTTATATTCTATATATTCGAGCCCGTACACATATAGTATGTACATACATATAACATGTCGATATCATTTCAATAAATAAAGACAAAGGCCTTGAATAATTAAAATAAAAAGTTTGAAATTTATTTATTTATTTTTATAACCTGTCTTCGAAGTGTATGATGCTTCCTTCACTATACAGTGAATGTTACAGAAAAGTATTTTTTAAGTCTTCTATAGTAGCTATATGTCAGCTAAAGTGCCCGAACCAAAAGGCTTTGACAAATAATGTGCTGTAATGAAATAAAGTTCTAGAGTATAAACATACAGACGGAGAATTATATGGATTCGTCTCGTCGTGCCGATCGTTCATGAACCTATAACTAGGGGTCTGACAGACCTCTTTCAATAATACATATTTGTATGATAAATGGGCACCTACATATGTATAGACTGAGACATAGGTGTTACACAGCTTAAAGTTAGGTTTTCACTCTAAGTCCATAAGGCACTAAGTGATTTATCTGAACTTAGACAGGCAGACAGGCAATGAAATACACGTAAGTTGTTAAATTCGAAGGGGATGGTTATGCCTCCTTTTTGGAGAACGATTCACTAATACCGATTTCGCCTTCGGGTACTTAGTATAAAATCTAACTCACAAAACGCAATGTCAACATTATCAACAGAAGGCTTGGGAACGGAGAATGTTTACTCTAACGCAATGCAAAGCTGTAAAGCAACACCAACAGAAATGCTGATAAGTCGCCGCCTTACTTGATGTTGAAAATGACTGCATAAACAAACGAAGCCCAAACATTGAGAATATCAATTGTGTGCTGATGATTTGCCATAATTTTGTCAACTCATTGATTTCAAATGAAAATGTTAGCTGACATTTGAAATTGCGTACGGATAACTTCTCTTTATTCTTATACTGCTGAAATAGAATCACGCCCTTTTTGTAAATAAATAAAAGTATGATCGCTGGATATAAACAAACATTTTAATGTTTAAGTTAATTTGATAAACCTTTGACGGGCCAAAAAATTAATATTACTAAATATATCTAAACTGTAATACGTATGTATAGCCAAACTGAACTATAAGTATAACTACAACTAATTACGGCATCAATTTGTTGAATATTCAAAGTGAAACCATTAAGGAAAAGCATAATTAATTACAATTGATGGATGGCCGGCGAATAAAGCCGCATGACAGCCAGCATAGACTGACACTGCGTAGAGGCTGCCCGCTGCTTAAAGCGTTATTGATGGACATATATAGTATATGTGTATAGCTGCAGTCCAACATACTTGTACACCATTCGCTAATTGCCAGCAGGCGCAACAAGCGGCACGTTAGACGCCCACCATGGAAATACGTGCTGCGCTACTTAAATACTAGTAGTAAGCAGGCAATAATAACGAATTAGCAAACAAGTTCAGACATCAAGCGGCCAAAGACAAACCATGTTGTGTCCAAGTGCGAGAAACAAAATACTATATGTATAAATATGCTGGCGAAAGGAAAGGAGGGCAGAGCAGCCAGTCAGACAAATAGCGTTAAGCACATAATAACCAATTTCGCTAAATACACCATAATTATGAACGGAAAGCAGGCCGCCCTCAATGCCTTGTGTGTGTGTGTGTGTGTGTGTGTGAGAGAGTTTTTTTTCTTCATTTGCGCTCGTTTGTTTGGTTGGTTGCTGTGGCAAGGATTTGTTGTAATTACGCGTGCATAAGCATATGCTGTCGTCTGAGCTCCAGGCTATGTATGCCTGCTACCTCGACCATGCTAGATACTCATAGGCCATACAAAATACTATGTATATGGATAATTAATTGCGTCTTTTCTTGTTGGAAGTGCGCGCGCTCCTCGAAGTAGGCAACACTTTTCGTTAACTAACTACCGGCAGCCGTAATTGATTGTTTTCCACATTTGACGCCAGCACACATACAAAAAAATACTTCGGAGCATAAAAACTTGCGTAACTGTATATACTACAAACCCATTTTAATATTTCTCACCCTATTCAAGCGAATGATAAAGTAAGCGCAGCGGTATAACAACCGACGCATCATTTATTTTTGGCACTAAAACCACTTTCCAATGAATATTTATTTAATTAGTTTGCCTAAGCTAAATAAAGATGTCACGCTGCTCTATTATTATCTGCACAACTGGGCAACCATTTAGAAGCATTTCATCACTTTAGGCTACTTGTGTGCTGATCCGGTCAGGTATATTTGTTATACTTATTTTTTGCATCTTCAGAGCGAGCACGAAGTAGGATGACTGTAGTATAGTATATCGCAGTAAAACCTTAATTTTGACCCCATAAATAAACCTCAGTCAATTCAAATATTCAACTTCTAAGTTCAATTACAAATCCAAGCAAATTTTGTGAAAATAATTATTCACCATATCACATTAATTATTTATAAGTCATTTTTATAAAGCCTTATCTATCTGTCTTATCTGAGAAAATCAGAAATTAAAAACAAAATGTACAATATTTTATTTTTTGTTTGAAAAAATTTAAAGACTAAAGACTAGCAAATTATTGTTATTAGTTTTGATTGAAATAAAATACTGACAAATGTTAAATGGTTCATCGCAATAATAAAATAATCAATAAAGCAAAATAATTATTAAAGAAAAAACAAAATTGTTTATCAATGATCTTCCTCCTAATTAGCTAGTAATTGCAAACGAAAAACAATTCATTTAGTCTTTACCGACAAATTCGGAATAAAAATATATCGGAATTACAAATTTCCTAACAAAATATAAATATAGTTTTATAAAATTTCAAACATTATTTATTAGTCATATCACCTGCAGCTCAGCAGTGCAATTAAGTTTTTAGAATAAGAAAATAATTTAGTTTATTTATCAGTCACCATAACTTAAACACATCCACCCGTGTCCGAAAGAACGTGAGCTCATTGCTTTAATTGAGTCAACATCTGAACAAGCGGCAACAGCTACAAGGTATGGGTATGGACGTATTTATTTGTGTGCAGCAAAATTTTCTCAGTTTCCAAATTGTGAGCTCCAAAGTAGAAGGCTGGCGTAGAAACAGACCAGCCTTGTTTCTTTGTTGGGCGCATCATTTTGGGCCAAGTTTTCGTCCTAAAGCCACAAACATTGACCGCAAATAATAATGCTGAAATGTTGCCAGCGACTGCCAGTGTCTTGCAAAACAGTTCAGCCCGCAAGTATTTTAGTTGTATGTGTAAGTGTGTCTGTGTGTGTGTGTGTGTGCATGTGTATGTGAGAGGGAGGGGCAGTGGCTGACTCCTTGATGTTTTACTAAACATTTTCTTAAATTAACATTAGCAGCTTTTGCAGCCGCCATTAAGACTCGGCTTTGTAGACACTCTGGTCTCCAGTTAGTTGGCCAGGCCCAAGCACAGCTCGGTTGCCCACAACTTGTAGCAAGCCACAGCGCAGCCATAGCCATAGCCATAGCCGCCACCGCAACAGCAGGCCGTCGTAAAAACCACAAAGCACCTTGGGCAGCCTTTTCGGTTAATGGCAAGCAACATGCGTAAACATCGTCGACCGTTCATTTGTTCGTCGCCGCTTTATGTGCACGGTCTGTATGTTTTTGACGCATTTTATTTATGTCATTTATGTCGGGCCGCCATCCAGCCGCTGGAGCCTTCGACTTGTCTGCCACTCCAAGTGTGTCAACAAAGCAGCGTAAAATTAGTTTGGCTTTTCGCCAGCGCTGCTTTAAATTATTGACAACTTTTTGGGATGCTAAGCAAACTATGCAGAAATTGTGGTATGATGGCTGGAACAGCACGCACAGCACACATTACACACCTTCCGTCCTGGCAAATTAGCAAGTTGGTAAAAAATTACATAAACGCAACATTAACGGAAGACAACGATTTCATAACCCGTTCGGGCGTTCAGGCGTTCAGGCATCATAAAACAAACATCAAATGTGTTGTAATGGCCAACATTAACATTTAACCTTGAAGCACAAATTACCGGATTTTTGTTGCCCCCAGGTGTCACACTCGCAAACACACACAACCACACACGATGCAGAGTGTGCAAAATAAAGTTTGTTCGCCCACAATGTCTCTCAGACGCATTTGTTGCCGAAGTGACAAACACGTTTACCTAAAAGCTCCACAAGGCGAAAAACTGTATCCATTCTCAGCAACTGCCACAACAAGACCACCGGCAGCAGCAACAGAAACAACAACGGCCATAAAAGAACGAAACATCGTCCAACAAAACATATGCGCCCAAAGCAATGCCAGCAAGGACAGTGATGGTAACTTCGTTTTTGATAAGCGCCTTCCAGTCACACACATACAAACACACACTTGATCATGGGCACCACATGTCGCCTCTGCCTGTGCCTCTGGCTGCTGCCATGATAAATAGGACGACTTTCAACGGCAGCCAAGCGGTGGAAAGCGAAGATTTATGACAAAGGCATTTGTTCTGATGAAAAGTCAAATGTGCTGCACAGAGCCCCGACTCTGGGCCCACAACTGCTGACCGTTTTTACCAATAGAATCCAAGAATCCCAGCACTTGAGCTAAACAGCAGGTAAAGTTATATCAGATATCGGAACCATCTAAATTTTTGGATTAAATAATGTATACAAATAAATCATTTTTTTCTCTCAAAAACTAAGCATTTATACATCACGAAGAACAAATAACATACTAGTCGTATGTTTATGAGGAAGTTAGTTCCAAATGTGAGCCGCATAGGCAAAGGATTATCTTTATGGGTTCTGGTAACTATTACAAATACATTCCAATTACAACTACTTATTAAATTCATTGGCTGTAGTAAAGGTGCGCATTTTTCTCTCGTGCATCGAGCTGAGCTTTGCAGCAGCAGATCCATGATTTTATATATTTTAGCGAAGTGATTGTAAGAGACCTTTTAAGTGCTATCCCAATGCTTTTTCACTCAACTTCCTAGTCCATAAGTATTAGGTTACTGGATGCCACATCTCTCACATTCTTTCAGCGTCAATTTGAAGCGTGTACTCATTTTATGACCATGGAATGGAATGCAGAGCTACCCACAGTCGCAGACTGAAATACTATATAGATTTTAAAGCAATTGGCATTTCCAAGTTATCCGTCGGTGTGGCTGTTGCTGTGCCTAAATAGAGTCGTTGCTTAGCTGGGGCGCAATGCCTCTTAAACCAGTGGGATTTTGATTGAAAATTTAAAGCAATGCCGTGGCTCAGTTTCGCATGCTGTGCGGTGTATCCATGGCGATTTCCTCAACATTCCAATGCTGGTATTGGTGTTGGTGGTGGTGATGATGATGATGACTGTCAACCATCGCATTGCCGCTAAGCTGCTTATGTTTGTGACGACTGAAGTGATTGAGAACCTCAACAATTTCAGCATCCGGCTTCCGTTTCACAGATCCGAGCTGGTGGGAGTGGAAGTGGTTCGTTTTTGGACGACTTTTTTCGCTGTCTTGGCAGCTGGCAGCAGCCAACTTGCACTTGTGGCGTTTAAAGCATTTTGGCGCCAAGCCAAGAAACGTCGTGCGTCGTAATTGAAACCGAGGCTGCCTGACAAGCCAGCCATCCGGGCATCAACAAAGTCGCACAGCATGCTGTGTGCAGACATTTAACTTGGAAAATCGCAATAAGAGGACACAAGAACTGCAAGCAACGAAAAATCAAAACATGCTCAAGATGAAGATGAAGATGAAAATAAAAATGAAAGTGACAACATGAGAGTGTGAAAACGCAGCAGGATATTGGCACAAACACGTGTACCCTCTCAACATACGCAACTACGTCCACGAAAGCCTCCAACACATGACTGTGTGGACGTGTAAATGGGAGGATGGGTGCTTCTTCATATACTTCATATACACGAATGTGTGCTCTTAGCTTTCACCTGTGCGCTGAAATATAAAATGCGTGCACATAAATCAAATAACTGAGAGTGAAGAGGACTCGTATTCAGGCAGCCATGCTGATAGGCACAACAACCATTAGGGTTAAACGCCTCAAATGTTATTTCATCTTCAGGAATTTTTCATAATTTCCGTACTTGGCATATCGCGCAACGTTGATTAATTGCGCATGGTTGGCTGCTGTAGCACACCAAATGTGGCAATTATTTTAATTTGGTAGATGTGGCGCACAATATATTCCACAAGTCAAGTCTGCGCATAATTCGAGATAAGCCAGAATGCAAAATTTAACATTTCCGGCCCATAATTCTTTTGACACTCAAAGGAGCCAGCCGCTCATATTATGCATAAAATTCAATTCATATGAACCCACCTACCGCAAGCATACAAGTTTTGTGGAAGTATTTGCCTCTCTTTATAGAGATACCCGACAGCGTTCCCGAAATTCTTTAGCTGCGCGACTCATTTTCATAAAACTCATATTAAGGAGCGGATTTCCGCTTTTTCTGCTCTGAAAGCCAAATGCCTAAATACATTTAACAACTATATAGATGAGATGCCGTAGATTTATTTTAGCGCTGACATTTGTGCAGATACTTAAGCAAACTCTATAAAATCTCCCTATCCCAATTCCACGAATGCAAGTAATTTAAGCGTTAAAACGCAACTCAAACAGCAGACGGCTAAGAAAACATTACAAGTTTTTGTGGAGCCAACTTTGTTTGCAATCAAATTGGCAAGAAGCCCTCAAAGAACATGCCGTAAAATGCAATTTATACTGCAAGAAGGCTGAGGCCGATCTCAGGGTGCAGCTTCACACAAATGCGTCGACGATAACGACGACGACACCAAGACTTTCTGCAAGTTAAACAACAAACTTTTCCCCAGCGTTATGCAAATTAGTTCGACAACAAAACCTTTCCGCGAACCTCGAAGAAAGAAATTAAGCCAGTAACACAGCGAGGTAACCTGAGCCCACATTTTTAGAGCAACCGCAAATGCGTAAGAATTTCAAATGATTAAAAAAAGCTTTAAAAACATAGATTATAATTATGAATAACATTTGAGGAGCAAACACAAAAGTGTAAGAATTATAATTGAATTACAAGTGACCATTTGCTATGCAATTAGATGTCATCAGACAAATTCTGTGAAAACAGCACATACTAGTATTCTCTTAAAATACCATAAATCATAAATCATTTCGTGTGGCTTATTTTTATTAAAACTATCGCTGATGTCCCTCTCAAATCGTACATACCACTCATAAGATCTGGTGCGAAACAATAACAAATAAAATAAAAATAAAATAAACATCACTCTTAACTTGCTAAATATTTTTCAACAAACAAATATTTTGTTAACAAACATTTGCTTACTTCAAAAGCGAAAATTGCACTGCCATTGCACAAAGTAACATTAAGCTCGGTATTCGCAAAGATATTCTCACTGTGGAATGCAGCGTGTAGACTTTTTAGAAGTAAGTTGAAAAATCCAGAATGCTTCTTCGCCATAATCGTCCACTGTATTAATATATAGGCAGTTCAGGGCTCAGGGCATTAGCCCTAACTATTCTCACTAACTTTTCCATATTTCGGATATTGGTTATTTCATTATTAAGCTGTAAGTAAGATGGATTTGATCATATTTTTTGACCTATTAGATCAAAAAAATTGCCTAATGAGTTGTTGATTTCAATCAAATATTCGTACATAGCAGATTGTAGCTCATTCGCAGTGAACAGTTGTTTATTTCAGCGAGAAAAATGATCGCTCCTAATTCATATTTCTGCCCTTCTGAACGACCTTCAGTAATGCAAATTTTTTGACAGCCAACTAAATGCATACTATACACGTATTACATAATGCTCTCAAAATCATGAAATCAAATATGCATTGTATTACAGGAGTTCGAAAGGTAAGGTAAGACATTGGCTCGCTCGAAGGGCAATTGTATTATCCGTATCCTTCTGTTGGTGGTATGTGGAAGGAAACTTAAAGCAATTTACTTGTCCTAAATGTTCGCCACAATCAACAAAGTAGCAGCCACAATTGTCTTTGTTATTGTTGTTGTTGCTATTTTCCGTCCGCTCTTTGCTTTTGTTGTTCAGTTTTATTTCATTCCCGTTTATGCGCAAAGTGCGTATAATTCAATTTTTCATGCACATGCACAGCGACAGAAAATCACCCATGGGGGGGATTGAGGTCGAAGACAGTGGCAGGGCGTGGGAAGTGGGAGGAGTTTACAGTTTCACTCGGCTACCTTTTGCCATTCTGAACGAAGACAAAGGACTGAGAAATATGCCTCAAAGGCATACTGCAGACATACTCTGTACATATTATGCGCGCAATTTCAACAGCGTGTCCTTATTGATGAGCGATCCCTTTTCTGTTAAACCGTTATCAATATTTCATTGCTAGCCAGAACCTTTTCGCCGACTACCGACTGCCGACTGCCGACAGTCGTCAACGCTGCGTGTTCATATGAAAAACTTTTTATTGAACTTACAATATGTTTAACTTGCCCTATTACATATTTATAATGCCAACAAGGGGGTCTGAAAGCAATGCGATGCCTTGGAAAATTACTTCTACAGCCGAGTGTGACGATGTGCTTATGATTCTTTTAAATTTCTTTTGCATTGGTCAGCAGTATTGCTGCTGATCTTAGTATCATTACGATCTATTCCTCCGTCCACAATACCAGCCTCAGATCTTTAAGGGTGGTTCCCAGCGTTTAAGTCCATGCGTCGCCTCTTAATCCGGCCTTCAGAGGCGCGACCATCGGCGACCTGATTGCGAAAAGAGGAAGGGCCCACTATGGCAGCCACAGTCGAGTCTGTAGCGGTATTAAGCCCGGACACAGTCATGGTGCGGGCAGATCGCCCAACGCTGGAGGGGGCAGCACCAGTGGGGACCAAGAACGTCCGAGCGGACTGGGGTTCTGATGTGGAATAGTCGGCTTCACCCAAAATGCTGCGCTCAATGGCCAGTTCAAGTTCAAAACCACCCATATCCGGGCCATTGATATAGCCACGACCGCCAGTGCTTACAGCTGCTGCCTGTGGACGTCTTCGCTCCACACTATATACGGGAAGAACCTCAAACTTTTGGCTCTCCTCTATCGCGGATAAAGCGTCCAGCGCATCATCTTCACCCTCGTCCTCGTCCTCGAATTCCAGCTCCAGATCGTAGCCACTGCATTCGTCGTCGTTGACACTACGCGCAAACTCAACGAAATTGTGCAAGCCTTGAATAGCCATTTTCCTGTTCTGGGCAGCAGCCGATGACGAAGGCTCCTCATCCGCATCGTCGCAGTAGTGACAGTAGTAGTGCACATTTAGCTCGTACGAAATCAGATCGTCGTAGGGCGAGCGTGCAAAATTGATCAGCTCGTGGATAAACTGATTTGTCTTCACCCCCAAGTAGGAGGCCAAGGCGGCCTTGAACTGATAGCTCTTCAGGCTAATGCGTGGCAAAAGACTGAGTATTAGGTCGTAGACAGTCACAATGTCCCCTTTGTTGGTGCCTATCAGCACGGGAATATCTCGATTCACCCAACTCATAACCCTTTGCAGTTCGTCTGAATGGCACCTGCAAGGATACAAAAGATCAAGGTCAGTTCCAAAAATAACATATTATTCAACCTACCTGTAAACACAGGGCCTCCAATCTCGATAGCTGGGAGCTTGGCCACCCGGCAACGAATACAAATTGTTATTGTAAACGAAAACACGCCAAAGAGCAAAACGACGAGTCCCCATATTTCGGCAATCCACTCTCCCAATTTGAAATCAGATAGGAAATACAACCAAAAATTGTCGATGATGTCGATCACAATGGCAAAACTTGAATACTCTTTAGTTCAATTCGTGGGCCAGGGCTGCAGTAATGGAGCATAGCGTTTCATTCCATTTGCTGCGTACGTTTCCGCAATTACAAATAACCTGAGGCCTCTTAGTTCTACTTATTAACCTTCAAAAAGGAACAATTATTTTACTGTCGGACTTATGACATACATAAACAGTATCTATAACTCAAAGCCTGTAAATGCCAACTTGATTTCGGGGAAACAGTTTTCTCATAGCACAGCCCTTAAATGGAGTAAAAACTCTAAATTTGTTATCCTTTTTGAAGTAGGAAATTTGGATTCCAACTTAAGATACAAGAAGACAACCAATGATTCATCATACAAAAGTAAAAGTTTTCAATTTCTAATCAGCATCTGAATTCTAATTGTGGAAGCTTTTATCGAAGTGCGCTAGTAAATACCATAACGCCCAGGTAAAGAGTCTAGATAAGAAACAATCGTTTCAACTTAACAAAGACATACATTTCAACAATAACAGCTAAGCTCCGCTAAATTACGTGGAATGTTTTATTTTCCCTAAATCCTTCGATAAAGGATAATAATATAAATAAGTAGAATTGCTTTGTTGACTTTCAGTCGCGACTCCAATTTGTTTAGGTACAGAGTATAATACCCAAAGTATTCATGTATGTATGCTAAGCAATAGAAAGAATGCTAAGAAAATGAACAATGATATAATATTAGGAAATAAATTTCGGAGTTTGATAACAGAATTTATATTATAGCTAAAGTAATTATATACATTGTATAAAAACTGATGGTCGTTTTTAGACCGAATTTCTAAATGTCAGTAAAAAACGGGCATTTCTGTTTTTAAAATTGGACCTCTATTTTGACGTTGTGCTGTATAGTTTATTGGTTAAAATTTTCGTAAATTCATCCACCATACTCATAATATTGGAAAAAATCTGGTTCAGTAAAAAGTCCTTAAATTCCGACACCACCAGCTCTAGCTGACCCAACCTAAGTACCTAAAGGACTTTTAGTTGTAATCTCAATAAAAATTGAATTGAAGCAATCATTAAATAGTATGGTAATATATTTTGAGAACTAAATTCATATTGTAACATCATTTATGGGCATGTCGCAGATGATAGCTTCTATGCCACATCCTTATTATAACTTGTACATATACCCAACATTTTCAGTGCAAATGACGTTTGCATCTTAGTTATAAGTACATTAAGGTCCTAAATAGCAAATAGATTACATGTAATGATGAACATATATTATAATTATATGTATGTATATAGTCATATATTAACCTACTACAACACATATATATGTATGTTTATGCCTAAAACGCGTACAACGATCTCTTGGCATAGGGAGAAGGAATACGCCCAAGATTTCTCATTATAGAACATGAAGGTTCGTCAAAATGCCTATGTAAGTATGTTTTTCATATACATATTTATTTATATGAGTGCGTTTGGTTGTGTAAAGATACATTTGAACGCCACATTGTACTACAAAGTAAAAATAGTACGGGATGAAAGAATGTACATTAACCGGTCGACGTGGACTAACTTGTGTATGTGCTGCGCATATGTATGGTTATATAGGTATATAAGCTGCATACTTGCTTAGGTTTTATAGGTTTTATATACAATGAAAAATGGCAATCTTATGAAAAGAAAGACTTATAGCTTACGGGATTACTTAAAACTAACAGTTTAAGATTTTACTTAACTATAGGTGACATAAGCTTATTTTATGCATACATATACAATTCAATTTGCGCCGTATCCTTTGTATACAGTAAACAATTTTTGTGTTACAAATTAAAACAATAGAGAAGCGCTTATTTATTTAAAATATCTTAATAAAAACTCCATAGAAAAAAACATTGGGGAGAATGGTGCTATATCGAACTTAGAGTAGGTATTTTCAAATTATATACCTACAGAATCAGTTTATGTGGCTCCTGCCTCTGCATCAGGATTATCTTGAGAAGAATCTACAATATCAGCGTCTTCAGCAGCATTTGCATCATTATTACTATCGACATCATTTTCAACTGCCTCATTAGCTGTTGAATCCCCAAAGTCTTCATTAGTATTCTCATTGCCACGTTCATCGTCATCATTGTATATGGTAGTTGCCGTAATTGTGTCATCAGCCTCGCCTTGCTCTATGCTCTCCATTTCTGCGCCCAACGTACTTGCATCCCCGACCACATCGATATTTGGTTCCGCCCGGTAATGGGTAAGTTCGTTGCTAGCATCTGAAAAAATACACAAATGTGCGTCATCATCGAGCGAGTTTCCGCTGTTGGGCAATGCATTGCGCAGAAAGCTAATGGCGTCTTGTACTCCAACAGACTGATCGTTAAAGACGGCAGACGTGCGCTGCTGTCCTGCGCCAGAAAGTTCGATCAGAGAACTTGCGATAGCGTTGTGCATTATTAAATTGTCCATAGTCTCGGATGTTGGATGTAAATGAGGTGAATCCGTACTTCCGCGCACCAGAGGATCGTTCGCATCGTTGGCATCTGTATTAAATAGGCTCAGTGCCGATGACGACCTTGACGTGCCAAAGCTTATGGTGCTAGCTATGGTGCTGCTGCGACAGGACAGATTGGCATCAAGAAAGCTGCTGCTGCAGGTACGTCGTCGTTTTGGTGCCGTGGGCGCATCTACATCGGGAGTAGGATCGCCAGCGGGCAGCAACAATCGCTCCTCTACTGGCTGCTCCTGTTTTGGCATCATTCTGTTTTGCGAAGCATCGTTGCTTTCATTGAGTGGCGCCTCAGATTTTAGTGTTGCTCGAAGTGCACTTAACTGCACGTTATCTAAACTGTCAGAGCTGCTTGAGCTGCTGCTCGAACTGCTGGATGAGCTGCTACTGCTTGAGCTGCTGCTGTCCATTTCATCGTCATCATCCTGGCTGATGGAGGCATCCCGTTTGCGTCGTTTAATTATCGATGTTGGTTTTCTTTTTGGACGCGAGCTACCATTGTTTTTTTTGCTCCGGCGTTTACTGCGCTTTTTGGGCACATCCGAATCCGACTCAGACTCACTTGAACTACTGCTGCTCGTCGTCCAAGAGCTGCTGTCACTGGGGCTGGATGATTTAGCTGTCTCCGTGGATCCAGCCACGAAACAGCGATGAGGCATTTGCGAAAATCTTCTATTGGCGCGCTTTTGCCGACTACTATGAATGAAACGCGCATCCTCGATCACTTTCTTCCAGTGCTTACCCGAGGAGCAAACACCAGACGATGTACTCGGCCCCATAAAGAGCTCACTTGCCATAGTTGCAGCCACCTGCTCCACAACGCTGCCTTTACTGTTATCTGTGGTCGGGGCCGCAGACTTTGCGGGCTTTTGTTCATCCACAAACACCACATCCGAGTCACTTGCCGAGTCCAAGCTGACCAACTCGGGTGTGCGCAAATGTGGCGGCTTACGCTCTAGAACGAATACACACTCATCGTCCTCGGAGCTGTTGCTGCATCCCGAGTCGCTGCTCTGCAGCTCGATGTGTGCACTTACCGGCAACATAGCGCCGGCATTGCGTCTATTTTGGCTGCTGTTGCTATTGTCGTTGATGGCCGCCACTTCGGCGTTTGCCGCCGCATCGCCATCATCAATCTCAATTACCTCGTTGACTGGGCGACGCATGCTTAAATTGATGGCTACTGTCTGTGAGCCAACATTTGTGGTGCGTCGTATTGAGATGCCCGGCAGTTCAGAACCATCAGTAGCCATCGTTACACTAAAGGAATGTGTGGCGCTTGGATTGGTCACAATAACACTGGCGGCAGGACGAGGTGTTCGACTTTGAGCGACCGGTGCCCAATCGTTAGAGGACTCAGCTGTATGGTTTGGCGCTTCGGCTTCTTCGTTAGATGATTGTGGCGACATAATATCCAGCAAATCAACCTCCACCTCCTCGGCCACACGTGCTGAGTATTGAACGACACGGTCATACCCAATCATGTCATACGGCGAGCGAGCAAAGTTAAATAACTCATGGATGAAATGGCTGGTGCGATCGCCAAGAAAGGGCGACAGACGCCGTCGGAAGGCCGGACCCAATATATTTGTCATGGGCAGTATATCATGCATAAGGTGCATCACAAGGCTAACATTTTGTTGCGTGTTACGTAGCAAGCACATTATATCGCGATGTATCCAAGGCATTAAACGGTGCATTTGTGCAGGATTATCTCTGGAATTTAAATGAACGTATAGCATATGTTTTTTTTAGATGCACAACATGTTTACCTATAGAAGCGAGCGCTCCATTCTCGGAAATGGCCCGTCAAGCTGTCGCTGACCGGCAAAGCGTAAAGTTTACGATCGTATACATAGCGCCGCCAGAGCTGGCTCAATGAGCTCAAATTTCCCGCATCTTGGTCATGCCGATAATAGTTCATCAGTTCAGTGCGATAGGGCTCAAAGCGATTGGCGGACGGTACTACCCGTAAGGGCTCAACCGTAGGAATTCCGTCCTCGGATTCGGCGGCTGCATCTATATCTTCTATGTCGTCAATGGCAGAGGTCATAACTCCTTGATTCTGCACCAAGGGTGCGTAACGGGGTCTTCGTATATTGACAATGTGAAATCGAAGTGATGCGTGGTCTGTCAACGGTGGGTTAGAAGCAGCCTGCACGGTGTATCTGTCATAGTCATCCAAGGTGCGCACATTATGTATTATAGTCTTGAATGGCTGCTTGCACAACGGGCATTCAGCCTTTATCTACAAGCGGAATCAAAAAGGGATTCGATATACTAAATCCAAATGATAATATAATGGAAATAATACCTTGCTCCACTCGCACAGACATTTGAAGCAGAACTGATGGAGGCAAGAGTCTGTGAAGCACTTTTGCTTGCACCGCGACAAGCAGATTGCGCAATTTGGCGGTGGAGATGTCCTTGCATCATTGTCGTCAGCAGCAGTGCTGGTACCGGCTCCGCCTCCACCAGCAGCATCAGCATCTTCGCCGCTCTCGCTGCCAGTCTCCGTTAAATCCGCAACAGCAAATTTAATTGCGGCTGGTGGCAAGGGTCCACTATTAGTAGTAGTATCTGTTCCAGCACCGAGAATTACTGGTGGTTGGGGCTCCACAATAACAGACACTGCTAAGTCATCTGGTAAGCCTGGCTCTTCAAGCATGGCTTGCGCCATTTTGTTAGCTAATTCAAAACAGCGCCGCCACCGCCCACAGTTCAGCTTTTTGTAAAATCCTCAAGCCAAAGCGAAGGCCGACTCTGGAACTGGAAAGAGTACGAAACTCACAATTTAATGGGCTCCCTGTGCGCGAACTTCGTGTCTCTCCTCAACTATTCGTCTTTCCCCTGCCCGAGACCGATTTGTATGTACGACCGAGCGAACGCACTTTTCTATCATCTGTTTCACTCGACTCGAGGAAAATTTCACATGGGTGCTTTTTTAATTGTAATTTGTGAGTCACGCAGAACGACCCCGACGAATAACACTAGCGGAATATAATCTTAAGTTAATGAACTACTCTTTTTAACTTTCTTGATGTTTATATTTTTCACAATAGATGACATTTTTTTCAGGAAATGTGGATGAAAATACTTTGTTCGAGCACTTTTTGGTAGCAATTCTGTATCTTGATTGGTAGCACTTTGACAGTGCTGGGCAGCACCTATTTATTGTTGGCAAGTGGAGGTAAAGAAAATTTATTTGAATAATATAACCGACCGCCTAGTTTCTTATTTTTTATTATCATGTTGCGACCTTCTTGTATTGGTAAAGCATCTTATTAAAGACTTAACAAACTCATTTTTATTTTATTTGTAAATATAAAAATATTTTATATATAACAGAAAGTGAGTTGCAAATTTCCATCTCTGCATTTTTTCATTTCATTAATGTGAAATGTGAAGGCAGCTGATCGTAATAATGTGAAGAGGTTTTAACATAAATGTATTCCAAAAGTAACCCTAACACGAAATCACGAAAAGGAAATACCAAATAAGTCAAAAAATCGATTGTGAGCCATCTCTAATTCGAGGCTGCCACCTAACTATAGTTGTTGCGGGGCTGCCACCTACAAAAAAAACCATCCCTCACTTCTGTTTGTGGCGTCAATTTTTAATTTGTGTAAAATAAAAGAATAACTATCGCTTTTAAAAATTTAACTGCAGCAATGGACCGCCGCAAGAAGCGCACTTCCACGGACCAGTACATGATGTACATCGAAATGATGGAAAACGATCCCATCTTCGCGAGCGGAAGAGTTCCCCGGGACTATGATATACATTACTTGACAAAGAAGTGGAAGGATTTGTCCGACAAATTGAACAAATGTAGTTCCGGGCCCACACTAACAGCGGAAGAGTGGCGAAAGGTGAGAACGAGTGAGGGACTATTGAGTCTCAGACGCCTACTCAGGCGCCCTTTCGTTTGCTTATGTTTACTTTTGTTGCAGCGACTTAACGACTGGAAAAATACGACTCGTTGCAAGTATAGACGTAGTCTTATGCCTAATGAGAAGGACATAACTATGTCGGCGCTGGAGCTAAAAGCGCTTGATTTGTTTGGCAAGGTGCCCACAGCAACAAATGAAACGCTTCTGAACTTAAAGGCGGAGAAAGAAGAACAGGAGGAAGACATGGAGCATCAGCGCACATCTGAATCGTTTCAAAAAGAACTGCAAGCGGCTGTCGAAGAGGCCATTAATGATGAAGTAGAGGAGATTGAGGAGGAAGAGCACGTGGAACAAGACGATCTACTGGAGGAGCCCATACATGAAACTACAGCTGTCCCTAGCTCGGCGGCCACCGTCGGCGCTGCAACTACGGTGGTCAATACGGGCGGTGGCACCTACCGCACCATAGTGGTTGATAGTACGTCCTACGTAGACGAAGAGCCGAACGCCGAGCCCATCGAGTTTATTCCAGCGCGTCGAAGCGCTGGCAGCAGCAACGCCAGCCTCCACACAGTAGTCAATACGTCAGCAAACACCGCCGCTGCCACAAAGCTTATCAACGGCGAGCTTCCGGTAAAGCGAATGCGAACACAAGCCCGTGATCAAATTATATACGAGGGTAGGTGGGCTTTTGCCCATAAATGTGATCAGTACACTAATGTTTCAATTTATATTGCAGTGAAAAATGCGTCGCGTTCTTACGCCACGCTACAAACGGCCCCGCCACCAAACAGTCTACACAATACAAAGATTGCGCAGCATGAGAGCAACGTTACGACTCTGACATCCGCACTTAGCAGCCATGACGCCCAGGAGATTGCGCATCAACTAAAGAGGCTGGCGGACATCAACTACGAGGCGCTACAGTTCGAGATTGCACGTTTTAAATTTAACAATCCCGGCTTTCACTATAACCCGCCGTCATTATAGTAGCCAGGTCTCATAAGGCAACTACTTCAACAGCAAACAAATAACATAAGAACAGCAGCTAATTCTATCAATTTACCGGCACTTTGGGGCCTGCACATTAAAATCGTTTTTACAAAATGCACATATCTTAAATGTATATGTGTGAACATCCCTAGCCACTGAACTCACTCGTTGCTGCTGCATCTGATCCATAACAGACCATAGCTTATAGTATCATGTTTAGTTTTAAATCAAAAGTTTACGTAGATTCTATGTATTAATTAAAATGAATTAGTTACTGAGCATTATCTTAATGCTCTGTGCTATATGTGTAAGTTTAAAGTGTAATCCATGGATTTCTGCCAACAAATTAATTTAAACAAATTGTAAATGTAAAAAAATAAAGTTTACCAATGATAAATAGTTGCCAAGTATTGTCATTGCTCACCACGTCCAATCCAAGAACCCAAACAATTACTACGCCTATGTATACGACTGATTTGTGTGTGTGCGCCCCAAGGCTAAGATGTTCTACTCCACCATTCGCTTGTTCTGACTGCGTTCTGCATTTTTGTTTATGGCAATCGCCTCCAAAGCACGCAACAACAAGGCAATCCAGAATTTTTACTATGCCTGGACATGGGACACAGAAAATCCATTAATCATTAAAGAGCTGCAGCGACTGCGTCGGGGGCGGTGTCGGCGCCGTCGTCAATATCGTCGGGTTATGGCAATGCACGCATGCATCATTGTGTTTTGGTTGCCTGAAATTAATTTGAACAGCATAAGCGACCATTGGACTGGCCTCGAACTTGTGGACATACTTTATAACTGTCAGACAAAGGGCCCTTGGGGTCTAACCGATGCGAAAATGATTTTAACGGTTATGCTGATGCTGCAACAAGTGCCGAAGTGCAACAAAATGAACCATCAACCTCAGTCCAAAACACATGGCTTTGCCTGAGTTGGGAAAATGACGCTGGCAATGGCAATAGATCATTTGCACGCCGTGCGCTGCGAATCATAAATTACCTGCAATGCTTGTGGATTACGACTCGTCTCAGATCCAGTCTTGGTCTTGTTCGATGTGGCAGTTGCCGCTTCGGTTGCCTTCGCTTGATGATAGCTGCACAACACGTCGTATGCTTAATCTGCTTTTCTCTATGCTTACCACTTTATGTTGTGTATGTGCATGTATGGGTGTGGGTGGCACCTGGGGACAATTTGATGAGAGGCCTGGAAGCAAATCTGATTACCTGCATATATGTTGTCGTCTTACATAGCCGTCATGCACTATGGAGCTCGCATTCACTTTAATGGTCAAATTGTAAGCAAACAGTAGTAGTGGGAGCAAATAAATTGGCAATAGCGTATTCAGAAAGACATCATTAATATGTAGAAACTTAACTGCGTATACATTTTTAAGGAAAATTTCGAATTCTATCTATATTTATATATATTTTTTGGGAATCTAAGTTTCGGTTATATTTTGTAAAACACTGATTTGCAAAACATTTTATACTAATTATTGGCAATTCTTCGTGCATAAATTTGAATAGCATATTATTATAATTTACTGATTTAGGCATCTGAAAATCACATTTAAGTTTGCATTAATCCTTATGTTAACGTTACGTTCTCTGAAAGGTGAAACGTTACAAAAGTAGTAGTACCATTAATTTAAAGGTGAATCAATAAAACTGAAGAAAATATAGTCTTTAAGTTGTTACCAGAGAACATTTTCGCATTCGCTCCACTGTGGCTGTAGTCTCTGCATGTCCAGTACATTAAATAGCTTGTGTTGCAGTCGTCATATACTACGATTATATGTACTCGTACATGACACAGTTGTTAAGTGGACCCCCAGGGGCGCACTTCAAATGTAGGCAACAAAAAAGAGGCAGTAAAGTATAGTATATATTTATATCATATTCTCGTATACTTCTACACTGCATGTATCGACATATACGTCATATTATGTTCAAACATAGATCTACTACATACTGTGCTTAAACATATAGCCTTGTATGTGTGCCGATTGATAATAATTCAACATGGACAAAGTCACATTAAAAGTTGTAGCCCGAAACATGCGAACGGTGGATTTTGAGATTCAACGCAACGCTCGGATGGACAAGTTGATGCAGGCCTATTGCCAGTATATGCAGCTCTCCCAGGACCACCTGATCTTTCGTTTCAAAAAGCTGCCATTGCATGAGAACGACACTGCAAATTCTATGTCGATGTCCAATAATGATGTAATACATGTGACCCAGCTGAACCAAAACTAAATATTATGAAAGACTGGAATGTTATTTTTATTAATGCTTATAGTATTCATAAAGGTTCATTTAAGACATACATTTCAGCTTGTGGATCATATTTTTTACCAACGAGGCCAATCTCAATAGCTTGACCAAAAAAAAAAAATAAATATGAGAAAAAATGTGAAATGTTCACATATGCTGAAAAAAAGACAGACTTCGTTCGAACTAGCTAGCTGGTCTTCCCGGCCGTCTTCTCTGTACCTATTTGTGCCTGTCCTTTATGTCTGTATTGGCGCAAAAGTGCAAAGCGCTTTTATGCCAGCGATTATTACGCTTGATCTTAAAGCACCAAAGGGTCAATTGATGTTTGTGATGACGCTGAATGTTGCCGACAACGGCAACATCAACAACAGCACTCTAGGACCCTCTGGTACGGCTGGTTGCAATCGCTGCCTTTGCTACATAAGTGAAATGTCTGCTGAAAAGTAATCAAGGTATCACTGGTGTATCGCATCATCTATGATCCACCAACAAAAGTTACTGCAGAGCTTAACTATTGGGTCATTATTAGATTAAGGTTGAGCCTATTAACTCGGAAGTGATCAAATATTTTAGATATTTGTGCTGTGCGCTAACATTATTTTAAGGCACTTTTTATACCCTGTACCCGTAGGGTAAACAGGGTATATTAGGTTTGTGCAAAGTATGTAACATACAGAAGGAAGCATCTCCGACCCCATAAAGTATATATATTCTTGATCAGCATGACGAGACGAGTCGATCTAGACATGTCCGTCCGTCTGTCCGTCTGTCCGTCTGTCCGTCCGTCTGGATGAACGCAAGGATCTCAGAAACTATAAAAGCTAGAATAACCAAAGTTGGCATCCAGATTCTCCTAGGTCCGAGTAAGGACGAGTTTATTTTATTTTTTTTAATTTTCCCCACTTCCCCCGCTACAGAATTTCGTCAATAGCGTCCACATTTCAAATGCTACCTAAACCAAACTTTGCACACATAATTTATATATAATTGTCTACTGTTGTTCAAAATTTTATTCAATTCGGTCAATTCTAAGAAAAGTTATTAGCGAAACAAATTCTCGCCAGTACAACCCCCACAAACTGCAGCAACAAGTTCGCTCTTCTTCTTCCTCTTTTTGTTGCTGCTATGGGCGCATATAACTCAGTGACGGAAGTTTACCTGGGTACAGGGTATTACACTGTCGGGCTTGCTCGACTGTAGCGTTCTCTCTTGTTCAACAAAGGGTATTTGCGGCACATCACTTAAAATTTTCGGATTTAATCCTCACTACAGACGAGAGCAGAGGCCCAAAAGTGATAAGCTTCAAAAAATTAAACATTCTAATTAAGACCAAAGCTAATAAGAAATAATTGCTATTGAAATCATAGAAAATATTATTTAAAATATTCATAGAAATACATTTATGTACTTTTCATAATTCATGATCATTTATTAAAATACAAAAAAATGTTCATAAACACAAAGGATTCTACTTTTCTTAATATTTTTTCGCTTATGACATACTTCTAACTGAAGAACGCCAGGCATTATTTGCCAGTGAAGTAACTAATAGAATGTTTAAATGGGTTTAAGGGATAGGAAATATTCCATGGCAATAACATGGCACTTAACATGTACGCTGATAGTAAGTGGTGAGCTCGGTATGCTTTATGGGTACTCCGAACTACAGGGTACTTTTCGCACTACCCGCAATTTGCTTTGGAATTTTAAGCAGCACAAGTTCGTCCCCGTCGTCATCGTCGTTGTCTTCGTCCTCATCTTCGTCATCGAGGAGTATATATAGTTTTTTTTTTGTTTAGTTGCTCATTTCATACTTCTATTCTGTTGCTCTGCCAAAATTGCATTTCTTTTGCTTGCAGCAACGACGCGTCAGCACAAAATGCAGTCAACGTTTCGGTTTTGGTTTTTATGTTGTCGCCATAGTCGTAGCCACAGCCATAGCCAGAGTGGTTGCCTCCTCCAACTCCGTAGACGCCATTGCCCGCTATATGCCAGTGTGCCCGCACTCTTGATATATCACTGGTGATATTTTTTCAACTATTTCCTGACGTCCGTTGCCTTTCCCGTTGCCACTTCCAGTGCTTATCATCATCCTGCCTGGTCTTTTGTTGCTGCTTTTAGTTTTTGGCTTTAGGGCTTGCGTCTCGAAATTGCTGTCATGTTTGAAATTTGTAATTTCAAGACGACGATAGTTTGGCTCGGGTTCTGGATGCTCGCTGGCTCGCTGGCTCGCTGGATCGCCTAGTTCTCATGGCTTCGTTGTGCTTTTAATAAAGAAATTATTTGCCGAATTTAGGCTGGGAATCGCTGAGCTCGAGAGCTGCTGACCATTTTATGAGCTCTGCTCTGTTTTCAATGGATGACTCCGGGTGCTGCTCTTCATGCTGTTGCTGCTGGCTAAACTTAGTTATAATTATATTAACATGATCTATGCCATTATAATCATTACACACTCGCACAAACACACACACACATCAGCGCGTATTTTGCATCAATAGCACAATTAGTGCAATGGACGACTAGAACGACTCGTGTTGTGGAGCAGTAACTTGAGCTCTGGCTAACAATATTGCCTGTGGCCGTTTATGGCCATGCAGGCAAATGCATATCAGGCAAACGACAGGCCATTATTGACGCCAGTCGCTGATGTTGCTGCCGCAGCCGCCTGACAAGCAACATCATCAGTTGCCATTGTTGCTGTCGCTGTGGCTGTGGCTGCATGCAAATGCGTGTACCTTCATGTGTGCGTCTGTGTGTGTGTGTGTGTGTGTGTGCGGTATTAAACATGCAAAAATCGGCTAGCAGAAAATATTGAGCGCTGAAATGGCTTGATGAGCTGCTCAGCTCCCCTCAGCATGTCATAAACACGGACTAATTGCAGCCATGATTTGTTACACACTGCATTAATGCGGCGACAGTCCTTAGTCCATAGACGTTCAAACTGAAAACTGAAAACTGCAAACTGCAACTAAAATCAAAAGCCTAATTGCCTATAAATGGCAGTTTTGTAGCAGCATCAACAACAACCAACTGTGGCGACATCAAACGTAAAGTTTTCAGCGCCAACATCAAAAAGAGAACACACCAATGACAGCAACAACAACGGCAACATGCTGCACATAAACTGGCCTATCATCAGGCGAATTGCAAACGCTGGCGACACAGCAACAACAACAACAACAACACCATCAGCAGCAGCAGTAATAACAACAACCACTGCAATGTAGGGATCGAGAACATCGCTGGGCGAGTTGCCAACCGTTTTGCTTTTGATTTATAAACAAAAATTTAACATCACTGTAAAGGAACGCACATCGTGTTGCATTTAAATTGTTCTTATAACCAGACGACGCACAATGGCGCAGAATCAATTCTAAATTCTATAATTTTTGAAACAATATAAGAAATTTAATTCAGAACGATCAAGCCTAGCGATATTTTATGACAATTAAAGCATAAACTTTCGTTATTACTCTTTAGCATCAGAAGCATTAGCATTAACTTTTAATTGAAGAAGAATATAACTTTTATCATTTTCTGTGGAATATCAAAAGAGATTTTGTTTCTTTCAATTTAAATATTTAAAAAAATATCCTAGATAATAATTCTTTTTAATATAATGCAAACAAGTACACAAATTTTAAGTTCCTTTCAAAATTACGTTGTACCCGAAAATCTATTTCTGAACATAAGAGCTACCCAGAAACGCATATTTGTTGTAGTTAATTGATAGATTATTTCATAATAAAAGCCAGACACTTCCATTTTTTTTGTATGTATTTGTGCAATGGCATTGTCTGCTGCACCCACTGTAAATCGGGGGGATTGTGGATTGATGATAGGCGGGACAGTGAAGCAGGCATTGCTGGCGCTTGTCGGAATTTATAGTATGTTGGCCGGAGCAGAGTTCATACAAGTGGCGCTGGCATAAAATTAATACGAGATGGATGCCTGCCAGACCAGAAGCCAGAAGTAGGGCTTGGAAAAAGGGCTTGGGTCGGTCCAAAAGCTATAATAGTCGTGCATCCTTTGTGTGGCACTCAGGCGAATAAACGACATCGACAACAACACAAAGCCAGCAACAATA